CAGTCCTCTGATTTTCTCTTTTTTTTTTTTGCAGCTGAACACATTCTAACTGGTAGAGAGGGTGTAGCAGACCACTTGGAGGCTATGGGTCACATCTGCTTGACATACCCTGATTTCAGGAAGTTTCTGTGGTAGGCAGAATTCTAAGGACACCGCCTTCCCCAACATTCCTGTCCTCCACCTATTATATCAAACACGGATCTAGTGAAGGGGCTTTGCAGATGGAATTAAGTTCCTTACCAGCTGCCTTTAAAATAGGACCCTTGCCCTGGACCATGTGACAGGTCCTAATGTGTCACAGGAGCTCTCAAAAGCAGAAGGGTAGGAAAGATGAGACCGAGGCGAGGTTGGAGAGATTCCAAGTGTGAGAACAGGACCTGAGGCTGCTGGCTTTGAAGATGGAGAAGGGGGTCATAAACCAAAATACACAGGCGGCCTCAGAAAGCTGAGAGAGATCCCCCCACTGACAGCAGCAAGCACATGAAGACCTCAGCGCTACAGTCAAACAGAACTAAATTTGGCCAATGAACTGGGATGAGGGTTATTTCTAGAGCTCTAGAAAAGAGCCTGGCTCTGCCAACACCTTGATTTTGGCCTTGTGATATTAAGCAGAGAGCAGGCCGCCCACACTGTGCCTGGACTTCTGACTCACAGAAAATGTGAGGTAAATTTCTATGCTTCTTTCAAGCTGCCAAATTTGTAGTGATTTGTTGAGACAAGAGAGAAAACAAATACAGACAGGGTAGACAATTGTGCCAGCTTAGACTTATCTCACACTGGCCAGCACTCCACTTCAGACATCCAGAGTGTGTCTCTGTCTTTGTGGCTACCTCAAAATCCTCTCTGAAGTCACGGGAGGCTGTTTGTCAAAAACAGAGAGACAACTGGGCGTGGTGGTGCATGTCTGTAACACCAGCACTCCAGAGGCTGAAGTAGGGAGGATTGCCAGTTTGAGCCAGACTGGGCTACATAGCAAGAGCGTGTCTCAACAACAACAAAAACAGTAGCTCAGTAGTAAAGTGCTTGCCTAGTATGTGTAAAGTCCTAGGTTTCATTCCCAGCACCGGGGGTGGGGGGAGATGGGGGGTGGGGGGTGGGTGGAACACAGCAGGCCATTGTTTTGATTTTTGATTTTTTTTTCTTTTATTTATATGTGCATACAATGTTTGGGTCATTTCTCCCCCCTTCCCCTACCCCCTCCCTTCCCCCGGCCCCCTCCCTTTCCCCCCGACCCCCTCAATACCCAGCAGAAACTATTTTGCCCTTATCTCTAATTTTGTTGTAGAGAGAGTATAAGCAATAATAGGAAGGAACAAGGGTTTTTGCTGGTTGAGATAAGGATAGCTACACAGGGAGTTGACACGCATTGATTTCCTGTGCATGTGTGTTTTTGTTTGTTTTTATTTTTGAAACAGGATTTTACTATGTAGCCCAGGTTAGTCTTCAGCCTCCTGAGTGCTGGGATTACAGGACCGTACCACTGTGCCTGGCAAGATCATTGTTTTGGACTATGTTGCACTGGGCCTCAGCAGACCAGGCTAAAAATCAAAATGGTGTTACTTATGATGAAGGTTTATGTCACAGCGGGGCACCAGTGACTCACACCTGTAATCCTAGCTACTCAGGAGGCAGAGATCAGGAGGATTTCAGTTTGAGGTCAGCCCAGGCAAATAGTTCACGAGACCCTATGTTGAAAAAACCTATCACAAAAACGGGTGGAATGGCTCAATGTAGGCCTTGAGTCCAAACCCTAGTACTGTGAGAGACAGATAAATACATAAATAAAGGTCTATGTCGCTAAACAGAAACTAATCTGTTCATCTGACTTTCCCAGAAGTCTGGATTAGGAAGGTTAACAACCAAATTTCCCAAACTGGCTGGTTTCAATTGACATGATAATGAAGTTAATCCTTACAAGAAAAAGTAACCAGAGATAATGAGATATTAGCTCACTAGTTATTTTACTATTGTTCTGTCTCCCTGTCCTATCTTTTGTGTGTGGTACTGGGGATCCAACCCAGCACCTCATGCATGCTAGACACAAACTCAACCACTGAGTTACATCCCCAGTCCCCCTGCCCCTATCTTGCAAAGAAAGTAACTTTGAAGTGACCAGACCGCCTTTTGTTCTTTTGTTTCTGCTCTTGTCAGCCTTTCCTTTCTCTGTCTATAAAGCCAACGTCTTCTGTTCAACCCATCGGCATACTTCATCCATTTCATGAGTCAGTGTTGCCTTGTTCTGGAATCAGAAATAAAAGCCAAGTAAGACTTTTTTATTATTATTATTTTTGTGGTACTGGGGTTTGAACTCAGGACCTCATGCTTAACTAGATAGGAGCTCTATCACTTGAGCCACTCTGCCAGCCCTTTTTTGTGCTGGGTTTTTTTGAGATATGGTCTCTTAAACAAAGTCAGACTAGTGCTTGCAATCCCAGTGCTTGGGAGGCAGAAAGCAGGAGGATGGAGAGTTTGAGACCAGTCTGGGCAACATAGCAACACCTGTCTCAAAGAGCAAAAGAAAAATCTTTAAATTTTTATAATTTTGTCCTCTGACAGCTTCATAAACTCTGTTCTGCTGCTCAATCCCTAACTGCTGGTGCTCCTTAAAGTCCCATCCTCACTCTTTCCTCTCTTCTTTTTGCAGTACTGGGATTTGAACTTAGGGCCTAGGCTTTCAGGAGCTCTACCACTTTAGCCACACCCCCAGTCCTTTTTGATTTAGTTTTTTTGCGATATTGGGGTTTGAGATCAGGGCCTACACCTTGAGCCACTCCACCGTTCTTTTTGGTAATTTTTTTTTTTTCTTCGAGATAGACTGTCTTCAACTGTTTGCCCAGCGCTGGCTTCAAACCTTGATCCTCCTGATCTCTGCCTCCTGAGTAGCTAGGATTACAGGCATGAGTCACCAGTGCCCAGCACTTTAGGTATTTTTTTGAATAGGGTCTTAAATTTATGCCCAGGCTGACCTGGACAGAGATCCTCCTATTTAGGCTTCCTGAGGTAGCTGGAATAACAAGCATGCAACACCACGCCCAGTTTTTTATTGATTGAGATAGGGTCTCACTAACTTTTTGTCCTGGCTGATCTCAAACCTCACTCCACTTGATCTCAGCCACCTGAGTAGCTGAGATTATAGGTATGAGCCACTGTGCCAGGTTCTCTTCTCACTTTTTCTCATTCCCAGAAGATTTATCTCACTCGTTAGACATTATGGTATTCTCCTCAATGTTTAATCCAGTCTAAAAATGTAATCTAATCTGCTCACAGTAATTCCATCCCCCTTGTCACCAATTTGTTTGGGATGAGCAAGTCTAAACCAGGTAAGACCAAGGAGATTCAAGATCTTTGCTTAGGATTTATGGGAAAGAGATATCAGTCTTTCTGGGGAAAGGAACCAGTGCTATGGCAGCCATTCTGTGATATGAAGGGAGCAGATAGTATGAAGTCAGTGGTGGGACAGCAGAGCAGGGAGATGGGAACATCTCACTAGTGATATTTACCCACCCTGCCCTACCAGTGGATTTCCTGCTTTGTGACTATGTTGCTGAAGTCAGATTGAATTAGGTATCTGTAACTTGGACCTGAAAGAATGCTACCTCATTCACACTTACTACCAGGAATTCTCTCAAACTCCAGGACTCCTGCTCCTTTCCTGGAGTTCCCTAAAGTTTACTGAGTTATGAATAAGAATTTGGTGCCTAGGGGCTAGATATGTGGCTTAGAGGTAGAGCAAACATGAGGTCCTGGGGACACCCCCAGCACAGCAAGAAAAAGAAGTATTGGGAGCTGACTATTACATCATCAAGCTCTCTCTATTTTTTTTTCCTGGTACTGGGGTTTGAACTCAGCCTCAGCCTGCCGGGTAGGCTTGAGCCACTCTGCCAGCGTCTCCCTATGTAGACCAGGTTGGCCTCAAACTGGTTATGTAGCCCATCCTTCACCCTCCTGCTGCAGCCTCCTGAATGCTGGGATTACAGATAGACAGCAGACGTTCCAAACTTACTCTTATGAAGGAGTAACGCAGGAGGCAGACAAAAACCAAAGCTATTTTCTGGAGAAAAAGGAATGATGAATAATGCTGAACAGGAACTCAATCAATGTCCAGTGAAAAACTCACTGTTCACAGACTATCACAGGCGGGTCTGCTAGTCAGTCACTCACCGTTGGTGTCTAAAAGGTGAGTGAATAAGACCTGGCCTGTCTGCTGGAGAAGAATGGGGAATGTGTGTGGAGTGCTTAGTTGTTGGACGCTGTGCAAAGTGCTTTCGGGGAGCCAGTTATCTCAGCGACTTTAGGAGGTTACCGAGGAGGGACACTGGGGACGAAAGTGGGCCCAAACCAGGCAGTCGAGGAGGTGCAAAGAGCTCTGGAGAGCTGGTTCTGGCCATTGCTTTAGGCCTGGCCAGTGCGAGCCTCACGGTCCTCCTCTTCCTTCATGACCCTAGCCTGTCTGCAGAATGGCTCAGCGGGATCTCCTAATGTCCCTGTTCCCAGGCTTCAGAGGCTGCCTGGGACGTGGGAGAAGGGATGTGGAGTGAGTAAGGCAGGTGGTGACTGAGCTCCGTGGGAGGGATGGTGAGGTCAGTGAGAGGGCTCCATGGAGGAGGGTTTTGGGGAGAGAGCCACAGACACCGCTTTCTTCCCCCTCCCTGGCCCCTGCTTCCCGCCCCGACCTTCTCCTGGGCTCCGGAAGGTTCGCATCCCGTCCTCGCCACCGGGTGCTGTACCCCGAGGCCCCAGGGTAGAAATCCGCGGAGAGCGCTTCTTTGACTCCCAAACTCGCAGCTCGGCGGCGCTTGGTGGCTCCTGCTGCCCGATCCCCCCCTCAGCTAGAGCCCACTTGGTCTGCGCCGCCCGCGTTCTCTGTGTGCCGGGCCCGCCCGCACTGCGGGGAGAGGCCGGGAGCCGCCCACGCCGCTCGGCGCTCCGCGCTCGGCGTCGCCGTCTCCCTGGGACGCACGCGGGCGGCGCGGCGCGCGGGAGCCGGGCGGGCGGCCATGGCTCGGCTGGCCGGGACGTAGCCGGGCCGCACCAGGAGAGCGCAGGGGCCGCCATGGCCCGGCGGCGGCGCCGCGCCTGCATCGCGCTGTTCCTGGTGCTGCTGTTCGCCTTCGGCACCCTCATGGGTCTGCGCACGCTCAAGGCTCCGGACGGACTCCCGGCCTTGGGACCCGGCCTGGAGCTGGCGCCCTTTGAACGACGGCTGGAGGGGCCCCCTGCACCCCCCGCCCGGGCCCCGGCCGCCCCTGCAGCCCCGCCGCCGCCGCCGCCGCCGCCGCCCCGCACCGCGGTCCCCCACGGCTCGCCGGGGCCGGTCCCCGCGGAGGCCGAGTCCGCCCCCGGGCAGAGTCTGCGCGTGTACTCCGACCTGCACGCCTTCTACTACTCGTGGTACGGAAGCCCGCGGCGCGAGGGCCACTACATTCACTGGGACCACGTCATGGTGCCGCACTGGGACCCCAAGATCTCGGCCAGCTACCCTCGCGGCCGCCACAGCCCCCCAGACGACTTGGGCTCCAGCTTCTACCCGGAGCTGGGGCCCTACAGCTCTCGGGACCCCGACGTGCTGCGGGAGCACATGACCCAGCTCAAGGAAGCCGCCATCGGTGAGCTTCTCCCCACCACCTGGCGGGCCTGACCCCCAGCCTCGCCCTTCTTCCTCGTTACCGGGCCTTTGGTCCCCCTCATCCGCCGTCTGACTTCGTAGCCCTTCTTTCCCATTCCTGGCCTGGACCCACTACCCGGCACCTCTCCTTCCTTGTTGCATTCCCTCTGCCCCTCCTGGGCCCTTCTATAGGGCAGAGCTGCTGGGGCTTACACCAGAGCTGCAACAGGCAGAGACAGGAAGGAGACGGGGGCAGAGACTTCAAATCTATTGGGCGTCCAGGTTTCAGGAAAGTGAGGTCTGGCTAAAAGGAATAGAGGCTGGGAGTAGAGCCTCTGGTTTTACACCAGGTGCAAGGAAGGAGCAGCAGCCCTTCCTGCTTTTGCTGGCTGAGGAGAGGAAAGTTTGCCCGTGTTGCATGATGGATCCTGCTGGGCGGAGACAAGGAGCTTTTCATCAAGTGCCCAGCAAGAAGACAGGTCCCTGGGATCTTCCTGAGTTGTAGGCTGGGTTAGAGAGACTCACTTGGTTCAGATTTTGTCACTGAATTCTGCTGGACATTACATTACATTTTATTATACCCGGAGATGGCTTGTGAATAGGTGGGAAATAGAATGACATAAGCCCAGCTAGGTCGTGCATGCTGTAACCTCAGCACTGGAGAGGCTGAGGCAGGAGGATAGAAAGTTTGAGGCCAACTTGGGCTACATAGCAAGTTCGAGGTCAGCCTGGGATACATTGTGAGATCCTTTCTCAAAAAACAAAACCAAACAAGACAAAAACCTAAAAAAGGACAGAGAGGGATCAGCGGGGGCCATCCTGTCTAGGTTTGCAGTCTAGAAAGGGCAAACAGCAAAAATGCTTTCCCATGGGAAGCACAGAGATGACTTCTTCACAGGGCTCTACTCCGTGTGGGACCTGGGGGGTGCTGCTCTTCTTGGGAGGTAAAGCTGTGGCTTCCAGGTGGGTGTGGCATTGCCACCCTCTTTCCTTTGTTCTGCTACTTGCTGAAGCACCTCAAACCTGGGCTCCTCCCAGCTCTGGAAGCTACAGCTCCCCTGGCAGCAACACTTCAGCACCATTGGCATGGACAGCTCCAAGACATGAGGCTCTGGGTTCTGCTTTGTCCCGAATGAACCTGTCAGGATCTTTGCTCAAAGTTTTCAGGAGTCATTTTTGCACCTGGAGATGATTGTGAGGGAGAGAAAATCTGTTGGGGGATACTCTGAAGGGGCCTCTGTGTTGTGTCTCAGGCGTCTTGGTCCTCTCCTGGTACCCCCCGGGCATGGCTGATGATAATGGGGAGCCCTCAGATGACCTGGTACCTGCCATCCTGGATGCCGCCCGTCAGTACAGCATCCAGGTGAGTCTCCAAAAAAGGTGAAGAGGTCTTGATCTAGAAGCTTCCCTTCTCTGCCCCTAGACTTAGTGCCTCTAAGGAAACTTGGCAGGGGCCCAGGGATGGCGAAAAAGTAGCAAGTGTGGTATTAGGGGAGGGAGTCTCATAAATAGTGCCTATGTCACTTTCTTCAGCTCTGAGAAAACTAGATACAGGACAAATGAGATACTAAATAAGTATCACTTTAAAACAGAGGTTAGGTCAGAGACCCTGATCCTGATGAGTTGAGGGGGCAGGCAGGCTCAACTTCAAGTGGAAGGACATGAGCATGTGGCCATTTTCTCCAGACATACCAATTAGTAAGTCAGTCAGTCCTCACTTTGGTGGTGAAGGAAGAAAATGAAGAGAGCCCCACTCCCCATTCCTGAGTCCACCACTGAAACATTTAACAGTCGGCAGCACATTTCCCATGGACACAGCTTCGGCACACTATTTCCAGTCATCTCAGACAACTAGTACCAATCATTGCATAGGTGGAAACCTGTGAGCCATCCTTCAGCAGCACACCAGAATGACTCCTAGATGCCCTGTTGGGGGAGGTGGGCAAATCTCTCAACCCTTTCTTTTGTCCTGGAAGAGAAGTGGAAGCCTTTATCTCTGCTGTGCCCACCAGGATTTCTCCTAAACTCAGCCTGTCTTCCACACCGTAACTGGAGCATGTGTGGTAACTGGACAGATGATCACCTGATCAGTACTCCTTTGTTTGTGCAGGTGGCCTTCCATATTCAACCCTACAAAGGCCGGGATGACATCACTGTACATGACAACATCAAGTACATCATTGACACGTAAGGCTGCTTTGGGGGCTGGGGTTTCAATGGGAATCAAAATGGAGATCACAATGGAAGGTTTGGAGGGCCAGGTCAAGAAGCACAGAACGATGTATTTCCAGCAGCTGTTTTACAATAAGAGAGTGCTGGACTTAGAGTCTGGCAACCTGAATTTCAGTTTCAGTTCTGCTGGGTCTAATGTGATTAGAGGCAAGCCTCTTAAAACTGTGAGTATTGTAAGAGTTACATAAGTTAGTACATGTAAAAGTGGCTTGTATCATTCATTAAAAAAAAATCTGTTGAGGGCTGGTGGAGTGGCTCAAGTGGCAAGAGTGCCCGTCTAGCAAGCATGAGGCCCTAAGTTCAAATGCCAGTACCAAGAAAAAAAAAATCGGCCAGGTGCCGGTGGCTCATGCCTATAATCCTAGCTACTCAGGAGGCAGAGATCAGGAGGATCGTGGTTCAGAGCCAGCCAGGACAAATAGTTTGTGAGACCCTATCTCAAAAAACTCTTCAGAAGAAAATAGGGCTGGTGCAGTGGCTTCAGGTGAAGGTCCTGAGTTCAAGTCCCAGTACAGAAAGAAAAAAACAAAAAACTATTGAGTACTTACGTACATAGACACTGTCCTTAGCCCAGTTATGCAGTAATGGGTAGAATTAGCAAAATTTCTGATTTCATAATGTTTATATTATGGGGGTGCAGTGTACCCAGCAGTAATTAAACAGGGAAAACCAAATAGTGATCCATACTATGAAAAGTAGTAAAGAATAAAGCAGGACTTTCTGCTATAGATTGTCCAAGAACCTTTTTTTTTTTTCCTCACTGCTGGGAATCAGAAGGCCTGTGCATGTTAGGCCTGAGCTCCACCACTGAACTTTATTCCAGCCCTCAAGAAACTACTTTAGAATGGGCGGCCAAATGTGCCTCGCTAGGGGCCAACACGTGAGCTGACATCTGAGTTGAGCTGGCTCTTGCTCCTGCCCTGTAAGCACACAGCAAGATGGTGGCCATCTGCCAGCCAGGGAGAGAGCCCTCACCAAAATTTCTTAAGCACCTTCATCTTAGACTTCCCAGCTTCCACAACTGAGAAATAATTGTGGTTATTTAAGCTAAAAAGCAAAAGGGGATGGGGATGGGCCTGGGACTGTACCATGTAGTTTGCTTTAGCATGCATGAAGCTCTGGGTTCAATCCCTAGTACTGTAAAACAAACAAAAAATGTTCTGCAAAGATGTGGGAGAAGCAAGTGTGGCAAGGATGGGGTGAGATCCCAGACAGAGGGCTGGCAGATACAAAGGCCTAAGAAGTAAGACGGGACAAACTTGACATGACAGGGGAGTAGAAACGCCAGACTGGAATGGAGATGAGTGAGGCAATAGCAGGAATGGAGGCAGACAGGGTCAGATCAAGTAGGTGGGGCCTTGTAGGTCATGGCAAGGAGTAGTCAGTTCTGATTTTCATTTTAAAAAGAAGTGGATTATAGGGAGGCAGGAATGGAAGCATAAGACACTGGTTAAGTGGGTATTGCCACCTTCCAGATGAAAGATGGTGGCGGATTGGCTTGGGGAAAAGCGAGGCTTAGGAATGACAGGGCTGAGGAGAGGAAGGACAGGAACCAGGTTCTTGATCAGAGGCAGGATGAATCCAACTGTGGAGACTAGCTGAATATGAAAATTGTGCTGCATGCATGGAGAATGATCTCCATGCTGCTCTTACAGTTGTGCTGGTTTCTTGCATCCAACTCAAGCTTCCTCCCTCCTTCCTGCTCCTCAGGTACGGCTCCCATGGTGCATTTTACCGCTATAAGAACAGCATGGGCAAGAGCCTCCCACTCTTTTATATCTACGACTCATACCTGACATCCCCTGAGGCCTGGGCCCACCTCCTCACACCAGATGGGCCCCATTCAATTCGCAACACTCCCTATGATGGGGTCTTCATAGCACTGCTGGTGGAGGAGGGTCACACCCATGACATCCTGGCTGCAGGATTTGATGGCATGTACACCTACTTTGCCTCCAATGGTTTCTCCTTTGGCTCCTCTCATCAGAACTGGAAAGCTGTGAAGAACTTTTGTGATGCCAACAATCTCATGTTCATTCCCAGTGTGGGGCCTGGCTACATTGACACCAGCATCAGGCCTTGGAACAACCACAACACCCGGAACAGGGTCAATGGCAAGTACTACGAGACAGCCTTGCAGGCGGCCTTGACAGTGAGGCCTGAGATCGTCTCCATAACTTCTTTCAATGAGTGGCATGAAGGCACCCAGATAGAGAAGGCCGTTCCCAAGAAGACACCAACTCGCCTGTACCTGGACTACCTGCCTCATCAGCCCAGTCTGTATCTGGAGCTGACCCGTCGCTGGGCAGAGCATTTCATCAAGGAGAAGGAGCAGTGGCTTATGTGAGAGGCTGATGTCCAAACCTCGCTGGGTGATATCACTGGGATCAGCTGAGGTTGTAGGCACTCACTGGTTCCCCAGTCAGCAGCTGGGTGCTTCTGGGTATGGGCCATCAAGACAGGGCTCACGTAAAACAGCCTGTTCCTCAGGCAGGTGGTGCTGGGGTACATTGCAGTGATGGAAAAAGAGGCTCACAGGTGACTGCATGGAGGCCCTGACAGCTTCACATTCTCGGAACACTTTCACAGAATATTTTCTGGCTTTGAACACTCTGAAAGGTTTTGTGCAGTGGTTACCCAGTCACTCTCTTGGAAAGGTATCTGGGCTCTGAGCTAGCATGCACCCTCCTCCCTGCTACCAGCCTACATCCTCTTCAGGCCTCCTTTCTGCATCATCTGTCTTCTCAACAACAGGGAGTCATCCTTGAGACTGTCTAAACAATCCTGAGCATTCACACATCCATTCAACACCCACTAACCGAGCACCATACTGTGAACTAGGTGCTGGGGAAAACTGCCACTCTCCTTGTTTAGTGTGGCCTTGTAGCTGGGCAGTCATGTTTTTTTTGTTTCATTCAGTTCATTTTCCTCTACAAAAGTACTTCTGTGCACCAGAGCTCACTTTTCCCACAAGTATTTAGCTGCAGGGAAAGGCCCAGAACACCCTCTCAGCTGCCTGAACAGAATGAGGCCCACTCACTAGAGCCACTTTCAGTGCTCTGTTATTTAGTACGAAGTGGTATTCTCCAGTAAACATTCCTCTTGCCCTCAAGACCTCATGACTCTCAACCTCAGAGTCTGTAACAAAGTGATGTAGAGTTGGGCTGGCTATAGCTTTAGCACAATGAAGAGTGGGTTTGCTTAAGAAATTACTAGTTTAGGGACTGGAGGCATGGAGTGGTAGAGCACATACCTAGCAAGTGCTGAGGACATGAATTTAAAACCCAGTACTACACACACACACACACAGACACACACCCCACACAAAATACTACTAGCTTAAATATCTAGAGGGAATAGGTGACAAGTGCTTATTTACAAATAAACTAATATGTTAGTTGTAAGAACCCTCAATAAAGTAGGCCCCTAGAGCACCTTTCTGGCAAGATCCTTGGGATATACCTGAATAACATGCATCAGAAACCATTGTACTAAGAGATTTACAGGCTCAAGACTGAATCCCAATTCTGGGAAATGGGGTTCAAGTGTGAAGGGAGGAGTGGAACCTAGGTTATCCCAAGAATATGAAGCCCTGAGTAAGTGACATAAACCCCACCAGACAGGCCTGACCACCTTGCTTGAGGCTTAGATGGGGAAACAGCAAGCAGGACCAGCTGAAAGGGCTAGATGTTGACTGTAGTGATTTCATTTCACATATACAGAATTTGAAAAACTACAGCAAGGCCAAGAGAAAGATGCGGCCATCCTCACACACCGCTGATGGCAATGAAACTCGATTCAGGTCTTTTGAAGGCTAATCAACATCAAGAGCCATAAATGCATTTGTACACTTTGACCTGGTAACCTACCCTAAGGAAATAATTCAAAAGAAAAATAAATCATTTGCAAATGTTTAACAGCATTTTTAATAAAGAAAAACAAGGTTTAAATGTCCAACAATTATGTGTAACACTTGGTATACATAGGAATAAAGATAAAAGGCTGCTGAGTAAACAAACACTGGAGTTAAAGGCATTGTACACATGACTTTAAAGATAAATAAGGAAAAGTCACTGGTTGAAAAGGATAAGAGAGATTTATTTCAAAATATTGCTTAATTTGGATCCCTCCCTAAGATTTCCCGCCATTAGACCAAAAATGACTTCCCTCTGGTTCAATGGAGAATTGGCCTGCAGCTCTACAATCTTTACCCTAACTCAGTTCCAGCTTTAGGAGCCCAAACCCATGCCTGAGACTTTTAAACTACATTAACACTTCTAGCTGGTTTGGACTTTAAAATGACACTACCTACCACAGAAGAGGCTCTCACTAGATTCTAAATCTATTTCTTGAATTACTTTTTCTTTGGAGACAGGGTCTTGTTATGTAGCTCAGGATGGCCTTCAACTTACTTTGTAGACCAAGTTGGCCTTGAACTCACAATCCTCCTGCCTCAACCTGAGTGCTACAATTACAGGTACTAGAGTTATAGGCACATGCAATACCATGCCCAGCTTAAATTACTTTTCAATTTGAAAGAAAGAGACAGAGGTAGGGGGCCACAACACATACTTATCAGAATAAGGCCAGGAATGTTCTTAAAAGTCTTTATTCAACTTTTGACTGGTATTTTAAACTATAGAATAAATATAACCTTCCCTCCAGGTATGAGGCTAAACCAGCAGCTTCTGGTCTACAGTGCTTAGAAAAACATGGTACCTAAAGGCACCATGATTAGGCTACTGACAATGGCTCCACTGGTCTCTGCAAATGAGGCCTTCCCAATCACCAGCAGCGAACAGACACATAGTATCCAGCAGCATCTTTGAGTCCTCACTCCTCCACAGTGTCATGAACAGGACCCATGTGAAGGGAGCAGCCCATACTTCTGTTGCAGGATGGCTGTAGTGTTTTCCAGGGCACTGAGTGGGACACAGAGGACAGTTACAGTCTGACTTCTCAAACCCCTGAGTTCCAGAGTCAGGTGACCAGGAACTTCTAAGCTACTGGTGTTATGCTATATTCATCAAGTTCTTAATGAATTCTAAAAAGCCAGCAAACACCAGCAAGTTTAGTCCTATGTGTACCACTTCTCCAAGCCTGCCTCAGGGAAAGACAGAAGTGACAACATTCACTTAGTAAAGCTTTTTTTCACCTCTCTAACCTCCCTCAAACTCTACTCCCCATAACATGAGAAACAGACTTACCAGCCTGGACGAATAATGCCAAACTTTCCAGGCACAGATAAGTCCACCACAGTAGAGCCAAGGCGACACTCAGGGCTTTGGCCATCCCCAATTGGTCCCCCATTAATGATCAGGGACAAATGAGGCCAGAGGTCTTGGAACTCCTGAGAAGAGGGAAAAGGAAGAACACAGCTATGATCCATTGTATATTAAAGGACGTCACACTGCACATGTTGTTCCTAAGTAAGATAAATGCTCCAGTTTTAGAACAGGAGGTTATCTTCCTTTACATGGAATTTAAGGAAATCCCACACTCTACTTTGGTTAGGGAGAATGACTGGGATTCTGGGTAGAAGTCCCGACTTTTGGGCTCTAACCCTAGACTTTTCACTCTATCTGTGACACACATGTAAGTTACCTCATCCTGGTCTACAAAACGAGGAAGCTGGGCAGATGACCAGTAAGGGTCCTTCCAGCAATAGCACTCTGATCCTGGATCTCAGTGGAACTCTGGATGAGGGCACGGAGAGGAAAACCAGTGGCTCTGTGTAAGTATGTGCCACCAGAAGTCTTGGGCTGTAGGAAGGACACTCCTACCAGAATTATGTATTGAATGGTCAACTAAGCTAGAGCTCCCCAATACACACACACAAGTACACACAAAGAGTGATGATATTGCAGCAGTCAGGACCAGGAATTGGGAATTGGGGATAAAAACCAGTTACTATGTTGAACAGTTTAACTGATTGCTGACAAGGTAAGACCCCTACCCCCACCCCCAAAATACAGAACCTCCCCCTCCCTTTGCCACATTCCCATTTCTGCCCCACCCCTGCATTAGCTTCACCAAGACCAAGTAAAATCAGAGTTCAAGAATGAGAAGGATGCCAAGTTCTCAATCTCTGAGGCTCCTGAGCCCACTCTCTAGATCAGTACACGGAAAACCCAGTCATTTTACTGCACTCCACATTTACACTTACTATGAAAATAAGTGAAATTTCTTTGTGTCCTCATTTGCTCTGAACTATGTAGCCAAGACAAGATTAGAATGATTCTTTCTTTGGCCTGGCTTGTAGCAGAGATAAGAGAACAAGGTCTGAAGTCAAAAAATGGGCAAAAATCTGGGCCAATAATTTAATGGCTATACAATGGGAAGAAGTGACCTTTTGCTGAAAAGACTTAGGGCCTGACTGCAGTCTCCAACAACTGCACAACCCCCACAAAAACAGAACAATGATTTTACTTAGAAAACATCAGTTCTCCCCTGTCCTCTCCAACTTTGAAATAAAAACTTTCCAAGACTCTTTAATTTGGATCCCCTCCCTTTCCATGCCAACCGGAAACAAAGAGGACGTACACAGCCACTTTCCTGCCAACATCAACCTACTGGTTCAGAGGAAACAGCTTGGTTTCTGGGAAGGACTGGGCAACTCTCACCTCAATGTTCAGAGAACTGGCCTGGGAACTGAGGTTGGCACTGGTGAGAGCAAGAGGTCCCCCAAACATCTGTGCCAAGTCCTGCATGAAGGCATGGTCAGGAATCCGGATGCCTACAAGCTATGAGGCAAGAGCAAAGGAATCATCAGGAAGGTTGGAAGGGGCACTAAACAAGTCTGCTCTAGCTCCGAGCAAAAGCCAAATGGCCAGAAAAAGTCTGGGGTCACAGGAGAAAACTTGACTCACAGGAGTAAATGGATTCAGGTCTTTGTTGAGCTCCTCGGAGCGTTCCATCACCAGAGTCACTGGCCCTGGCAATAGGTCTTTCAGGAGCTCCTCGGGCACTGTCACTTGGCAGTACCTGGGAAGCAAAGGAGCACAAATCCGCTCAAAATGAAGAGCCAATGGCGAACATTTCCCAGGCCTACCCAGAAAACGGGTCTTCGGGGTCTACAACGGGATCCACCTGTCTCCCTGCCTCCCCTCCCTAAGAGCTTGAGAGGTGGGACTCGAGAGAAGCATCCATGTCTCGGGGACTACAACAGCTACAGCGCTGTGACAGCGTCACAAGTCTCAAGCTCTGTGTTTTATTTTCTGCAAGTCACTCTCAGATTAAATTAAATTAGGGGTTTCCTCTCTTCCGTGGGCCTCCCCCGCATGCGCACAAGAGCGACAAGCGAACAGAACCCTGTCTGCCTCACTCATCGCTGCGGCCCAGTGTCTAGTGCCGGGCCTGACACACGTTAAAGTGCTCAGTACATATTTCCAGTTCCGGAACTGGTGAGCTTGGACAAGCCCCTCCCGCTCTCTGCGCCTCAGTCTCCCAAGCCTGTCACCGGAAACCCCTCCCGCGGTGCCGCCCCCAGCGGGGCCGGGTCGGGGCGGCCTCACCTGTAGACGTCGGCCACGCGGCCCAGGCATACGGCCAGCGGCTTGGCCTCGCAGCGGCCCTTGAGGCGGTAGACAGCGCCCAGTGCCTCTGAGCAGCTCGCCGAGCAGGCCAGGCCGTACAGCGTGTCGGTGGGAACAGCCACCACGGCTCCGGCGCGCAGCTCGGCCACGGCGGCCCGAAGCGCCTCGGTCCAGCCGGCGCGCTCGGGGCTTGCGGCCTGCACGGCCCCACTCCCCGGGAGCCGCAACAGCCGAGCCCCCGGCGCCGCCGGAGCGGGGCTGGGTGGGCGAAGGAGGCGGCAACTGCGGGCAGAGCCCGCTGCCCCATCGCTCAGCCCTACGCTGGCAGCCACAGCGGCCCTCAGCCCCGTGCACGGACGCGCTGGAGACATCCGCCCAGGCCCGCTTCCGGGAGGAAGTGACGCACATAACCAGCTTCCGGTCCGAGAGGCTCGGCCCCACCTCCGCGCCGAGCAACTTAAAGGGACCACGACCCCCAGGAGGATTGAAGGAGACCGGTGGGGACGGGGCGGGGCGCAGCTTTGCAGAGCCCTAGCGCAGCGCTGGGGAGGGGGGGCGGCCGAAAGGGGGGCGGTGGTCGGGCCGCGCAGGCGGAGATGGAATGGGGCCCAAGCTCAGACTGGTCGCGGGGGTGAGAGGGGGCCCGTCGGGGCGGGTGGGAAGGGGCTCGGACCCAGCGTAAGCGCTGGGCCTGACCGTCTGTGTCTTGCTCTTTCCTGGGCAGGGAGGCTGCCGGCGTGGACCGCGGGAAGGCGGGGCTGGGGCTCGGCGGGAGGCCACCCCCGCAGCCGCCCCGGGATGAGCGCGCCCAGCAGCTGCTGGACGCGGTGGAGCAGCGCCAGCGGCAGCTCCTGGACACCATCGCCGCCTGTGAGGAGATGCTGCGGCAGCTGGGCCGCCGGCGCCCGGAGCCAGCTGGTGGCGGGGTCAGTGCCCACCCTGGGCTGGGCTTGGGGGATGGGGTCTGTTCACTGGTTGGACTGGCCAAGCCCTAGCTTCCCCAGGAGGTGGGGGCGGAAGAGCGCCCCCACTACTTTATCCTTAACCTACTTTGATCTGGGCGACAGGTTTTTGCAAAAGTTAAGCACTATCCAAATGCCAAGTGGCCGTATCCTAGCGGGCCCTAATCCAAGGCCTTTCCTCCTAGGCTGGCTGACCTTTTTTCTTTTCTATTCCAACTAGAGCGTCTCAGCCAAACCGGGAGCGCCCCCCCAGCCCGCCGTCTCCGCCAGAGGTGGCTTTCCAAAGGATGCTGGTGATGGAGCTGCAGAGCCCTGACCATTCTCTAGCAGGGCATCCTGACTTCTCTCCCTCCCCAGGGCTGGTGGCTGGACTCTGAACAACTCCCTTCAGTAAAGGGGTTCGTCTTAACTGGCAGTGGCTGGTACTTGGCCCTCAGCCTGGGGTGGCAGCTCTGCTAGCAGCTGGGTTCGCTCCCACTTTATCCTGGCTGAAGGCAGTACTGTGCTTTGAAATGTAGCCCATGAATACCCAGTCTGATTACTCGGATTTGGGTAGCCCAGCAGTGCTGGCCAGAGTGGTCTGGCCTGCTTTGGGGGTTCCAGGTGGTATGTTACATGTCCATTTCATGCTTTGGGGGCTTTTAGCCCTGCAAAACACCTTTAGCAGAGCCCTGATTAAAAGGAGACCTGCAGACTTTCCTGGTGACCGACCTTTCCTTTTTTTCCCCTTTCCAACACTGATGGCTGGCCATGGGGGAGTAGTGGAAAAATGTCAACCACGGGCAGGGATGGGAAGTAATGCCACAGACACTACCAGATTTAAATAAGCATTTAATTAAGATTTCATTAGTATTTAATATTGCTTTTTCAATTCCAAAAAGTTAAATTTTCACTTCTTAGCAGATATTTAAAGTACAATATTAAGTTTATACAAAATGAGCAATTAAGCAAACACCATTATTTCACATTCTTCAAAAATACAAATTCATATTCTTTTTTGGGTTTGGAGGTTTCTTCCTTTGGAAGTACTGAACCTGTAACGTTTTCATAGCGCTCAGTGGAAGTCCATTGTTCCCATGTTTTACACTTAAAATAAATTTGATAGGCTTTTACATAATCCAAATAAAATTATTTGGGACCTAAAAAATTGTCACCAAGACCACTGGCCAATGATTGGTGTGTGTCAAAAAAGGCTCTTGCCTTTGCTGGCTAGAAGATCTGAGCCAGGGAGCCAGCAAAAACCTGCTTCCAGCTACCTTCCCCAAATAGGGACTAGGGGGAGTTCACAGGAAAAGGGAACAGCCACCTTGAACTCCAACCCCAACCCCACTTTCTCTAAAACACAACAAAAGGTGTAGACTGTTGAGTCAAACAGCCCTTGGGAGGCCTGAGAACACAGAAGGGGCAAAAAAAGAAGCCTCTGACTTGGCACCACTACAAGGACAAGGATATTGCAAAAATCACCCCTGGGTTTTGGTGGAAAAAAGGTTTTATGAAAAATTTTCCTATAAGAAAAAGTAGAAACTGCATTGAACTGAGAAAGTGACACAACATTATCACCCCATTTTTGGCCCAGCAGGCATCCAGCAAAAGGGTAATGTGTGGTCTTAAACCTCGCTTCCAGTAGAAAAGCTTGTACTTTGTACACCTTGACATAACGATCCAGTTTAAGTTGCATTTTTCAGTGCAGACTGAGAAGCCCTCTCGAGCCAGGAATAACAGTGAGAAATGCCGACTGTGATCATCAGTTTCCTCAAAGGGCATGAGAAGAAACAAAAGATACTTCCCCCTCTCCCCCCAAGAATATGCAAGAATAGATAGGCCAAACAGGCTGACCAATCAGAAATATGTCATACTCAGTTTTGTTGCCAACCACCCTTCCACAAATGTTAAAAGAATGGACAGTTTTCCATCTGTGTCTTAGCAGAACCTCTTGCATATTGCATCCATGAAAATCTTTCTGCTTTGGCTGAAATGTATTTAAAAGTCTCTAGTCTATAGCCTGAGAATTAAAATGGGAGCAGATGGGGGAAAGGAAGAAAGTTGATAAAGCAGATTATTTGCTTACTGGATTTGATGAAAGATGGAAGCCTTTTTTGCTTATTAGCACCATCAAAGGTAGTATGGGGAGCAATATAGAAATGGCTCATATTGCCCTCTTCCCCTCCCCCAACATATTTCTGATTGGTATAAAAAAACTGTAAACGCGAGCAGTACTGGTGTAGTTCCACAAACCAGTGGTTTCAGTGATGCTGGAGAAGTCTAAGATTCAATTCAGTGGATATAATTACAAATATGAAAGTCTAGAAGGTGCCAGTTTTCTACCTAGGAACAACCTATTCCTTCCTTTTAGGCATCACTTTGTAATGATGAAGAGAGGAAAGATGGCAAGGGACCAAGAGGTGGTGAAAAAGGGCCTCTACAGTCAGCAGAAATAAACACCCACAGCACTTCTCCCGAGAGCCTGAGGGGGCGCCCGGGGTACACAGGGAAGGCTTGCATAGATCGAGCAGCTGCTGAGAATGCATAATATGTTTCCCTATGGACAGCCTCAGCACAGGGCTCATCGAGTGGAAAAATGCAGACAGGCCAGGGCCACATGGGACAATGACTGTCAAACTACACATATTGCACCAAAGTAAGTGCTTTTCTTTTCACACACCTCAATTTAACTTTTTATTCTGAGCAAAAAATAAAATTTTGTGGAAAGTATATATATGTATATATATATACACAACAGAAATTGCAGCAATTGAGTTAAAGATAAAATAACCTAAAGTGCTTTTTTGTTTTATTATTTCTTTAATATACCAATATGAGGTTCTGCAAACTTGTCCCTCTGGACACATTCAGCATTATACAAAGTCTCTCAGGAAAACCCACCCACCCTCCATTATCCCCGTCAGTACACTGCCTTGACCCTGAAAAAAAGCACACTCCCATCTACCAACTCTCCTGAAGTGGTGAAGAGAAGCCCCTTGCCTTCTTCACAGGGAGGCCTTCACCTCTTGAGGCCTCTCCTGGGCTTTGTACCATCATCTCTTTCTAAAGGTGGGTGGCATTCAATAAATGACACTACTGTCACCAAACTAGTGGTGCCCTCATCAGATTGGCCAGACCCTTCCAGGGAAGACTGGGCTACTCTCCCCTCAATGCCCCACTGCCTGCCTGGGAAGGGCCAAATACACTAAGGCAATTTGGTGGTGCCAGCTAGTCTCTTTACCTCCTCCTGAGTCCACAAACCACCCCTGGTACTGAGTAGTACTGCTGAAGGGGCAGTTCAATTACAGATGCTAGTGGGAGCTCAAGTATAGGTCAACAGGGTGAAAATGGCTAAGGTTACCCTGGGAAGAAAAGGCTTAATTCCATCTGTTACAATTCACCCTTCCTAAACTTACCCTGTATGTTCATTCCCAAGGTGGGAAACCACATTCTCCATGAAGGTTCTTTCTGGCTCCCATTTAGCCAGGGGCCCTCTCTTCTCCAACGTCCCAGCATTAGAGGCCTGGCTTATGGAAGGAAGATGGGAGGGAAGGAGTGCTGGCAGAGCATGGAAGGAAAGTCTGCCTACCCTGTGGAATATATCTGCTCTGTACAACCACTCACTGACATGTGAAGCACATTCCTGATTTTCCAAAAGCTGATTGGAACTGACAGTCTTTCCTATAACCTAAAATCACTCACAAAAGGCCAACCTCTACAGTAAGAAGTACTGTTTAAGATGTCTCTTAACCAGCCCCAATCTGTGGAGAGTGAAAAGCCATTGACGTGGGACACAACTAACATGAACACACCCTGGTTATTCAGGAAGAAGTAACATCTAAACCTTCATATATCCTTCCCTAGGCTTGTATTTCCTGCCTCAGCTCCGAAAGAGCCAGCATCCCAGGTGATCTGATAGGCATGTGGAAAGATCATGACTACTCTGATACAAGCTCACTTTGGGGTCCCATCCATTGCTCTCTCAGAAGTTGTAGAGAAAACATCAAGAGCTAAGTTCAAAGCTTCCTATAGGTACACGGCCCAGAGACAGCCAGGACAATCCTTGCTTAATACTTGGTTTCCCAGAAGGACTAACCCACTATGGTTATCAGAAGATTCCTCTTGCCTTGTCAACTTCTGCTGATGTCAAAAGTTACCAAAACCCACCAGCCTTTTCAGGGAGTGGAGTGCAGGTCAAAAAGAAATCAATTATCCTGGCTAGGCTCCTAGAATGAGAAATCAGCTGCTTAAGTCCATTTCTTCTCATGGGAGTGACAGCATTGTCACCACTACCCTCTTGTCCAAACCTGTCCCCAAAATCTTAGCTAAAGGTGGGCCTCTGCCTTCAAGATACGTCATCTGCTTGTGATGCTATCTTAGCTGGCTCTGAGATAGCAGGAGAGTGACCAATACAGATCTCTCACTGCCTTGTTTGTGGATTCTGCTCTTGCTGGAGGCAGGGAAGTGTTTCTTGGGAGACAGACGCTGATTCCACACCCTGGGCCAAAGCTAGTTTCTGAGCATGATGAGCACTCATGACTACATTAAATAGCCAAATGAGAGCAACTTTCCATTCCTTGTGGATTGTATTTTATGTTTTATTTTAAGAGGCAATGACTTGAAGCCAAAGGCAGACAGATGGATACAACTCTATACACAAATCAAAATTTTTTTTCTATAGCACAACTTATTAAAACATTCCAAATGAGATAACTTATTGCAACATTTCAGGCTTTTTGGTGGAAGGGGAATTTTTGTTTGTTTTACCCTGAGAAGATCATTGCTTTGTGTGGTTTTTTTTTTTCTTTTTGCTTATAAATCACATGACTAAGTCGAGCAAGTCATATCCTTGTTTGCACTGTATTAGGCTGTATGCAAAATCCAGAGATGAGGGGTAGAGATGGGATGGGGCAACCAAAAGTCTGGCTAGAACCTGGAACCAGAGCACCTGGCCTGTCAATAACTTGCCACCTCATCCACACTCCCTTCAATCTGCACCTTCCCCTGGGAAAGCAAGATGAAGGCCTTCTGCTCTAAGGATGAAAACACTGTCAAAGGAAGGCAGAGCTCCAGCTGCTAACTGGCCATTAGCTATGTGTTCACTCTAGGACAAAATAGGGATGTTCCGCAGGGAGAGCCCTAGCAAGCAACTAAGAGATGGAAAGAACCAGGAAGGTAGACTGTGGTTATGTTGTTAGAGCCTGCTCTGTACACACATCATCAACAGACAGCAGTCAACAGCTTGTGTAGGACCCTGGTAGAACCAGGCTATATCCACAGTGCCGGTCAGGCTTGAAGCTGCCCATTTGTTCTGAGCGGGCTACAGGACAGCCTCTGAAGCATCCACCAGGGGCTCCATCAATGCCAAGTGCAAACAACAAAACCATCTCAGGCGAACCCTGTCCAACTCACAGCTGTCTCACCTGCCCTTGCCACTACCTACTTTGATGGAAAAGGAAGGATCTGGCTTTCCAGACAAATGTTAGCCTCAGATTCAAAAAGACACACAGGGAGGAGCAACACCCAGCACACTGAACTCTCTTGCCCAATCCACAAAAACCCCAGTGCAAATGATGGGCAGTACCAGATTGATGGAAACCACACCCTTTCATTTAGAATTTTTATGCATACGAGTAACCTTAATTTCCAAGTTCACATAACAATAAGCAAAAGTGACATACAGTGCAGCCAAACAGTTCACTTATAACTTAGCTTTTTTTTGTTTTTTGTTTTTTTCAAAAGATCAGTTCATTAAAACGGGTGCTCCTAGGATGTGAATAAAGAAAATACGTCTGAAAGGTGAGGCTTTCAAACAGCAGATTTCTTCATCCTTCCAATTTCTGACCCCATGATGGCAGGCATCGCACTTTGTGCTTCCTGCTCACCCTCTTCCTGGAGGTGAGTGCATATAGGCCTTTCCCCTGGAGAAGCTGTTGGTCAGGCCCATCTCCTCCTCCCCCTGCAGTAGTGCTTTAATGTGAATCAGATTGGACAGGGTGTCCAGGCTCTGGAGGGACAGGAACTCTGACACATCCATGGCACTTAAAGTTGCTGCCTGAGGGTCTGAAGGAGCCTCGGCCTGTCTGCTTTGCTCACAGGAAGAGGGTCCGGTGGAGGAGGAGGATGGGGAGAGGGAGGGAAGAGGAAAAAGTCTAGGGTGGTAGCTGCAGGCTGGACCCATCAAGAGGCTGGGAGTTCGGCTCTGGAGGGGGTGGGGAAGAACAGCCCTTTCTCCGGCTGGACGCCCGCTCCTTCGCAGAGTCCCGACATGCACACTGACACTGACATGCCTCCTCTTGTTTGATGATGATCACAGGAACACTGAGGCCAATCTGTTGGACAGAGCTCCCTGCGAGAGAGGCAAGAGAGACTGCTCTTCAAGTAGCCATGGGAGAGGCATGAGGGGCAGGGGTGCATGGACTAGGTGAGGGTTGAGTGCAGCAGAAGCAAGGAATGGTGGGCAGGATGATGCCATCCATACTCCAGGCTTTGTTCTATTTTAAATCGGACCAGGTTCTTTCTCAGGGAAAAAGCCTCAGACACTCCCAATCCCTCCAGGACGAAGCCTCTTTCCTTACAGTCATGCCAACAATCTAGATGTATCTTGTCATTCTCTACTGTGCCTCCATGCCAGCCACAGGAGATGCCTCCCTTCTCCTGATACCTTCCACATACTCCGGGGCCCTTCCTTTTGCCTAAACTCCTGGACAGAGAGTGCTGTTCTTCTGGATATCCAGCTGACTCCCTCACCCATTATCCCAGGCAGTGTTTCCCACAGGCCTGTGCAGAGGGCCAGCTAGGTGAACCTGGCACACATGCACAGTACTGTGCCTTCCTTTTGCACCTCTCTCCACGTTGCATGGCCTGTTTTAGACTCTGTGCTCCTTAGGACACCAAGCTCCTCTGTGTGGTCCCAGTATCTGACATGGTAGGTGTCAACCAATCTCCTCTTACACAGCTGGCCTGAGATGAGTGCACCTTCATATACATTCTCATTTTTCTCTCTATGCACACACAAGCTCTGAATTAAGCCAGGTTCATGTGTCCCAACAGAGCTAAAGACCAGTGACCAGAATAGGGTGGGAATGAGAAAACCCAAAAGTTAGTGCTCTGCTCTGGTTCTCCTGCATGTTCGCTTATGACCTTTGGGAGTCACTTAATCTTTTGGGTCCCAGTTTCTTTTCTTTCTTTCTTTTTTTTTTTTTTGAGACAAGTTGTTACTATATAGCCCAGACTGGCCTGGAACTCCATAGGTGAACTCTCCATCCTCCTGCCTCAGTCTCCGGAGTGCTAGGATTAAGGTACGAATCACCATGCCCAGCTCTGCGTCCCAGTTTTTTAGAATATAAAAGAAAAAGCCTGAAATACAAAGACCTTTCAGCTGTGCATGAATCTCTGACCCAGATGCTATTTCTTCCTTACTGTAATTAGAAAAGAGTCCAGTGAATTCATAACTGGCCTCTTTAGCATTAACTGTAAATTAAAACTTTTTTTTTTCTGGCTACATATAAAAGCAGTATCTGAAAGGGAAATAACTGTTACCAGGTAAAGAATGCTAAAGATAGTATTTATACCAGAAGTACATTAACTCCTAGTAGTTGTGAGAGCATAAAATACTCTAATAAACAATACAATGTAAATTCAATTGAGGCTGTTTAAATATTTTTAAAGTTTTAAAAACTGAGGCAAAGAAATAATTTACTCTGCCTTAAGGAGCCCAGAAAGTTGATTTTCTTTTAAAGTTAAAATGGAATTACATACCTGTGCTACCGGCTACTGGTACTGCGGTGGTAAAATATACCTGTTCAACTTTAGATGACTGCTGCTGGGGAAAAAAAAAATCACACTTATAGACACTCCAATATGGCAGACATTCAAGGACCTGAAGCCTCCCCAGTTGTAATGGTCATCCAAGAGGAAGAAAACCCTAAGTGTTCAGGGATTTTTGCACTGAGCGGTGTTTTGTTTGTGCTCTCACATGAGGTCACTGCACTGTTTGACATTCCATGCTGACAATCAAGCTAGCTTTGTACTCCACTACTTGGCTATCTCCCAGCTGCCTAATCCAGATCCAGTGGGTTGTGTTGGTAGGCTCCTTCAAGGGTGCTTTTCTCAAGTTGATGGTAGTCTCAGAGGGAGCTTGGGGCTAGCTTTCCTTCAAGGCTATTCACTCCCACCCCAATTCTTTTCTGAAAGCTGGAAAGTTCTTTTCTTCTCAGGGATTAAGCTGCATCTAAAGACAGGCTAAGGCTTCTTCTCACTGGCACAAAGCCCCATGAAGACCCTGGACTCAGATACCCCTGGTTTAAGTCAAACTCTGTCACTTGTTAGTTCTTGATGCCAGGTAAGTGACTTTACTTCTTAAGAGTCTCAGTTTCCTGTAAAGGCTGGGATGATAAGCAAAGATCCTCCTAAAGGATTAAGTGAGATGACACACATAGAGCACTGAGCTCATGGTGCACATCTAATAAACATTAGTGGTTTGTACTGTTACACTTAGGAGTAATATATAACTGCCTAAAAATCACCTTTATCACTTCAGTATTCTTCCCATTAAGTTGGCTAAAGGGTTTCTGCATTTTTTTTTTGGTGGGAATGCAGTTTGAATTCAGGGCTTTGTACTCGCAAAGCAGGTGCTCTACTGCTTGAGCCACTCCTGCAGTTCATTTTGTTCTGGTTATTTTAGAGATGGGGTCTCCCGAACTATGGGGTCTCCCGAACTATTTGCTCGAGCTGGCCTGGAACCACAATCCACAATTCTTAACCCTCTCCATCTCAGCCTCCCAGGTAGCTAGGAGTACAGGCATGACTGGTGCCTGAGTTTCTGCATTCTTCAAGTCTTATCATAAAAGGCTTTGCCTTTTATTCCTTTAAAAAAAAAAAAAAAAAAAAAGCGCCTCAAGATGAGCCTGAGCAGAAGTGAAGGCTTCTAGCTAAAACATAGATGAAATTATAATACACTGATGGAGACAAGAGCCCCATTTTTTTTTTTGTTTGTTTTGAAATAGGATTTGGCTATGTAGCTCAGGCTGGCCTTGAACTTTTTTTGTGGGGGGCTGGGTAGTACTGGGGTTTGAACTCAGGACCTCACATTTGCTAGGCAGGCACTCTACCACTTGTGGCCTTGAACTCTTCTTGATCCTCCTGCCTTCAGGTATGCACCACGCCTGGCTAAACCCTGTATTTAAATAGATGAAAATGAATTACATGGAAAAAGAATAACATTTGTTTCATGCAGCTCCCCAGCAGCAAGCCCAGAAAAAGTACTGGAAAGACCTTTCCAACGTCACTGGCCATCTGACATGGAAACAGGCTGCCTTTAAAAGTAGCTGGCATGCCATTTCTGGAATTTGAGTGCTCTTACTATTTAGCTCTAAGCTACCTTTCCAGTTTGTTTACATCTACACACAAATTTTCCTGTCTAGTACCTCCTTTTCTCCATGTAACTTCTACCCATATTTCAAAGCTCATTTGATCTGTATGGCCACCTGACAAGTCCCTTAGTGTCTGAACTCTTTATCTTGCAGCATCATGTAATAACCAACAGTACAGGCTCTGAGGCAGTCTGCCTGTGCTGAATTCCTAGCTTTGCCTCATGTGAGTTGTTTAACCTGGGCTAGTCACTTAACCCCTCTGGACCTCAGAGTCAGCTCTCCATTGATAAGATCACATCTATTCCCTAGATCACTAAAAAGTGATTAGTTAAAGGCTGGAGATGGAGTTCAATCACAGAATGCTTGCTTAGCATTCATAAGGCTGTGGAATTCATCCCCAGCACTGAAAAAGAAAACAAGACAAAACAAAAACTTTAACGAAGTGTGTGACATATACATATATAGACATATGGAGGCAGTGACAAGATCAGTGGTTGATAAGAGTAAGGGAAAGAGGGAGAGGGAATGGATAAGTGAAGCAAAAGGTACAACTGTTCTGGACACTGGGATGGTAGATACAAGGTATTATGCATTTGTTAAAACCAACAGAATATACAACAAAAACAATGAACCCTTCCAGATCATCATGGGCCATAGAATGCAGCTGTCTCAAAACTCAAAACAAACAAAACGAATAAATCCTAATGTAAACTATTAACAATAGTGTATCAATACTGGCTCATCAATTGTAATAAATGTGCCACACTGATGCAGGATATTAATAATCTGGGAGGACTGAGTGTAACTCAGTGCAGAGCATGTGCTAGGCCTTGGGCTTCATCCTCAGCACCAGAAATAAAATAAAATAAAATAAAAATAATAATAGAAACTATGGGGGTAGGGCAAAGTGTATGTATGCAGGTATTATCTGTTCGATAAAATCTAAATTGTACAATTTACATCCATCCACAAATTTAAATAATATATACAATGACTGGCACATGCTAGATCCTCAATTTTAAAAAGTACTTAGTGCATGTGCCTATAGTCCAGCTACTCTGGAGACTGAGGTGGAGGGTTTGAACCCAGAAGTTCAAGACCAGCCTGGCAATGCAACTATGTTTTTTTTCTTTTTTAAAATCAGTTATTATCATTTGGCACTTTATTGGTAGTATTAACTGTTTATGGCATTTTAGCCTTTCTAACCTTAATGTAAATCTTTATGGAAAAGAAATCATGTTTTTCACTTTCCTATTTCCTTCAGAGTATACAGTGTGGAATCTGGCAAACACTAGATTCTCAGAGGACATTGAGGTAAATGAGTAAGCCATTTCCAAAAACATCAAGACCAAATACTTCCTTATAAAATGATTCTAGGTGGAGTAGGGGCTTGGCTCAGTGGTATAGCACTTGCCTAGCATGTGCAAGGTCCTGGGTTCTACCCCAATACTACAAAAAAAAAAAAAAAAAAGATGTTATAGGATGAGAGCACAGGTTATTTCTCTGACTTGGCCACTGCTGTCTGGTTCTGTCTGACTAAGTCTTATCAGTCCCTCACATAGTGTGACTCCGCCTTGAGGATGACATTTTTTTTTTTCCTTAAATATTCTTAAGTTTCTTGACTGTACTAGATATATGATTAGCCTGCAGATGGAATATTTTTTCAAGTATCTACTGCTAGGTAAACTTAAAGGTTGTTTTTCTCCCTCCTTATTGTAGGTACTGACCCACAGCATTCTCTGAATTTATACCACTCAATTATGGGGAAAATCACTATAAGGGAGAATTACATGTCTTAGAATAGATAAGCTAGCCATTTGCCCATTTTAAATAAAAGTCTCTGAACAGGTCATCTATGAAAGCCCACTTCACCCCACTGAAGCATATTACATATGCTTATATGTAATACTTACAAGTTGTTCTTGGTTTTGTGGTGAACTGGTGGCACCATTTAATATCCACTGTAAGTTCTGTTCTCCCATGACTAGGCTGGACTGCAGGATAGCCGCATTGGGAGTTGGGGTGATGGTTATGGTGGGATTATTAGTTAGGACAGAGTTGGCACCCAGGGGCAGAGTCTGGACCATGGCTGGCAGGGGCTCAGTAGTACTTTGTGGTGGGGCTGGTGCTGCCACGGCTGATGCCACTGCTGCTGCTGCTGCTGCAGAAGCCCCAGCAACAACGGAAAGTCCTGGTCCAATGGGCTGGGGTGCCTGGGGGTGTGGAAGAAACTCTTGATGATTAGCAGCAAATTGTGTGCTGTGGGGAACAGGCACTTCTGGAGGTTGTAAGAGAGCAGGGGGGTTGCCAAATGCAGCTTGCTGGGAACCAGGTCCTAGGGAGGGAGCAGGCGGAGGAGCGGACGGAGCTGAGGCTGGTAGCAGAGGCTGGGGTGGCTCGGAGATGCCAGGCTGCAGTACAAGTGGAAGAGATAAAGATGCTGAATTTCCTGTGGGTGGCGGAACATCACTGACTGATTCTGCATCACCATTAAAACTTTCAATCAAGGCAGCTGGCAAGAAAAAAAATAGAAACATATATACATATCCCAAGCCTCATATAAACCACAAAAACAGTTATTATGGGAAAAACAAAAGACAACTGAAGTCTGTTAGAGCCAACTCCTTCACTGCTACCAGACTGGCTTTCTGCTTTCATTTGTGACACCTCTGGTCCAAGTACCAAGTTTCATGATCAACCACATTTCCTAAATATGATCACTTAATATGGTCAAATCATAATTTAAAAAACGTGTCCTAAGGCTTTTCTGGAAACAGAGACTAGGCATCCTTTTTTGGGGCATGGCTAGGAATACACTTTCTGACTATGGTAAAGCTTCATGGACAGATTCCCATTCAAACACAGTATGACCTATGCATCTGAGGCTTGGTTTATGGGCAGCACCCATTCATGAACAGTGTGTCATATCAGAAGGGAAAACTCAAAGAGTCTGGAAAAGTAAACCCTCTTCTTCAGGGGCTCAGGGCAGTCAAGGAAGAGATGGAACACTCTTCTATCTCTTAAATTAAAAGGCCCATCCTTTTCTGACCCTTCATAGAAAACTTGCTTTATTTAAGCTAATTGAAATATATCACTGTGCCTGTCATTTCGTGTATCAACAAGACTGTCAACAAGCCTTCCCAGGGCTGGGAGCAGGGAGACTGTATAACAAACCTGTCTGCAGAGGATCTTCCTGAATTGCTGCATCATCTGAATTCTGAAACATTGATTCAAAGATGATTGCTGGTGAAATTGTGCTGAGGTCCTGGTCCTGTGTCTGATGAGAGATAAAAGACATGAGACTGGCCATCCTTAGACAGAGGACATAAGTAGAGCAGCAGAACTAGAATATTTTGACATGCTTCATGCTTCTGCCTTCTCCTACTTCAAAATGATATACATTTCCCTAAAGCTTAGATACTAAAGATCTGACTCCTCAAGAGTTGGAAAACTATGTCTTGTAGGTTGACTGCCTGTTTTTGTAAATACTGGAACACAGGTACACTCACTCATTTACCTATTATTTATGCTGTTTTCATGATACATCAACTGAGTTGTTATGACAGAGATCGTGTGATCCACATAGCCTAAAATGTTTATTATCTGGTCCTTTACAAAAAAAGCCTGTTAACCCCAGTTCTAAAAGACTAACTCCTACCAAAAAAAAAATTATATTATATCCATTACTGTTATGGTTTGTCACATCAAAATCACGTTGGAGTTTAATCCCCACTGTCAGGTATTGAAAGGTGGGAACTTAACTGACTATAGTGCTTAGAAGAGGGGATTATGATTGAATGCTAGTGGTTTTTATGGTCTATCATAGGGTTTTCATTTTTAAAGGCACAACTGAATAGTGTTCTAACACTTGAGCTACACTTCCAGTTGCTAGTGGGTTTTAAGAAGGAAAGAGGCCAGGTACAAATTGGGAGGCAGAGATCAGGAGAATTGAGCTACTCAGGACATAGACAAGAGGAGGTCAGTGCATGCTGGCCTGGGCAAGAACTCGAGACCATATCCCAAAAATAACTAAAGCAAACAGGGCTGGGGGATGGCTCAAGTGATAAAAGTATCTGCCTAACAAGTGCAAGGCCCTGAGTTCAACCCCCAGTATCACCAGAAAAAAAAGAAGAAGAAGAAAAAGAAAAAGGAGACCAAGATATAAATACACTCATACTTCTGTCTCTCACCCTATACCATGGTAGGAGTCTGCCAGAAACAAGGCAATTAAAAGGGTAATGGTAGTACACACCTGGAACTCCGGTACTCAGGAGGCAAGGCAGGAGGATTATGAATTCACAACCCCCCAAAAAACAAACAAACAACAAAGCACACCACAATGCCCTAGGGACTTAGCTACTGACAAGCATTAAACAAAATGGCCTTCACTTTAGTTAAGTGGAAGGAAAAGCTGCAATTCTTCTATCCATAGTTCACTTCTACCTAAGCATTCTGTAGGGCAAGAGTGACAAAGGCAATAGTCCAGGCAAGCAGGAACCAGGGATGTAGAGACTGTGGCAGAGTCTGGAGCAGATGTGCCCCAGTACAGAAGGCTTCGGCCAAATGCTGCCTGGGACTCTGCAGGCCAGGGATTCCCAGAGCTCAAGACAGGGCTGAAATACAGATTTTTATGTGAAATCTCCTAATTTCTAAATAAAAGTAAGTAATTGCAAATAAACCAAGGGCTAGCAGAGTGGCTCAAGTGGCAGAATGCCCGACTAGAAAATAATCCAAAAGGGGGCTGGGCGTGTTGCTCAAGTGGTAGAGTACCTGCCTAGCAAATACAAGGCCCCGAGTTAAACCCCAATACCACCAAGATAAAATAAAATAATCCAAAGCACTGTATAAACTGGGTATGGTTATATAATCTGCTATCCCAAAAGCACTCAGAGGCTGAAGGAGGAGGACAGGAAGCTCCAGGCCAACTTAGGCTACACAGTAAAACCCTATCTGAAAACAAAACAAACAACAAGCAAACAAACAAACATGGACATTATATAGACCAAACTACAATCTATCTTCAGGTCAGACTTTGCCCCAATTTATGTTTTCAGATCATTTTGTAATAACTCTGCCTCTGAGAGGGAAAACTAAAAGATTTTTTTTTTTGGTGGCATTTATGTTTGAACTCAGGGGCCTCAGACTTTCTAGGCAGGCAATCTACCCCATGAACCACTCGGCCAGCTCTAGGGTTGCTTTGAGGGTGGGGAGAAGTGTGTGATGAGTAGTAGTGCTGCCCTCCAAGCTGGAGGTCCTCAGCAATGAAACTGCAACAGGAGCCAAAAGAGGTTAATTATTCTATCATAATTCCATCAGCTAGAAGAATGAAGGGAAAGTTCAGTAATTCTGATTGTCAGTAATGATGAGAGCTGAAGGCAGGACTACTTCAGTCCAGCTTCTAGTCCAGGGGAGTTAAGACATAGACCAAGAGTACAGCTTTCAAATTTTTCACTGTAACAAAAGGTAAGAAATACATTTTACATTTTAAATGCATCTGTATGAACAGAAGATGGGCAGGTGGTGCACTCAGGAGGCTGAGGCAGAAGGGTCATGAGCCCATTCCAGCCTGGGCTACAGAGTAGATCTTGTCTCAAGAAATAGAAACAGACAAAAATACATCATAAATATGTATTTCACATGTCTATGCATATGTATAGCCTGACACAAGTCTATGAATATCAGGACACTGCACTCTGATATTTTTCATTCGATTGATGTATTTGAAATGCTGATTGTAAACCACTGTCTTATAGCCCAGTAAAGAGGTACAATCCAATTTCAAATAGTGGGCTAACAACTACCATTAAGCTGGAAGCTTTGTAAATTTCTCATGGCTATTACTTTTTGTTCTACTTGTTTATAAATCATTATCAGTAATAACCTCACTCAAAAGGAATGGGCAAGCTGGGCATGGTATCTCATGCCTGTAATCCTAGCTATTTGGGAGGTGGAGATTGGAAAGATCATAGTTCCAGGCCAATCAGAAAAAAAGAAAAAAAAAATCTGGCCATGGTGGCATGCCCTGTCATCCCAGCTACACAGCGGGTATAAACATAGGGATCCTAAGCCAGGCCAGTGAGACCATATTGGAAAAATAACTAAAGCAAAAAGGGCTGAGGACATGGCCTACCTAGCAAGTGGCAAGGCCCTGAATCAAACCTTAGCACCCTTCCCTCCACCCAAGTAAAAAGGAATAGGGTTGACTGGGAATGGTAGCTAACATCCATAATCCCAGCTACTCATGAGGCTATGGCAAGAGGATCACATTTGTGGCTAACCTGGGTAACTTATTAAGAGCCTGTCTCAAGATAAAATAAAAAAGTGCTGCTTATATAAGTTCAGTTGTAGAACATTAGCCTAGCATGTGGAAAGATTCAATCCTAGTTCAATCCCTAGTGCAAGGGGAAAAAAAGGGAAACACACACACACACACACATACACACACACACACACACACACACACACACACACACGTGCATGACCACAACAGTGGTTATCCTTAGGGAGAGAAAATGGCTACTGGGGCACCAGAGGGGCCAAAGGGATGGTGGGAACGTTTTCTTGATCTGGGTGCTGGTTACACAGGTGTGATAATTCATCAAGCTGTACATTTGTGATATATGCCCTTTCTGTATTATGCTGCATTTCAATAAAAAAGTGTGGGTTTTTGTGTATGATATTGGGGATGGAACCGAGGGTCTTGCACATTTTAGGCAAGTGCTTTACCACTTGAGCCACCACACTCCAGTCCTTTTTAAGAATTTCTTTAATTTAAGAAATATCTGATCTGCTGTTAAGCTCACCCAGTGAATTTCTTATTTGATGCATTTTCAGTTCTAGAATTTTCATTTGGTACATTTTTTATAGCTTCTTTTTATCTGCTGAAATTTCCTATTTGTTTAATCATTACAAGCATATTTATGTCCTTGAGCATATATTAGCTATTAAAATTTTTGTTAATTTTAGCATCTGAGTGTCAACCTCCATAGATCACCTTTTCTCTTAAACAGGGATATGTTTTGCTATTTCTTCACATGTATACTAATTTTAGATGGCTGTGGCCATTGCAAGTAATATACAGTAGAGACTTTCGATTCTGTTATGCTTCTCAGAAGAGTGTTGATCTGTGTTGGTTTGCACACTCTGTTAACTGCCTCTTTTACACTGGTCCACAGCTATACTCTTCATTTAGTTTTTCAGCGTTAGCTGAGGTGTTGACTATCCCACCCACACATCCATAGTTCATGGGTCAGTCAGAGATCTGGACAGAGTTTATACCTAGAACTTGGGGCTCCCTTTGCAGCTCTTTGCTTTTAGGCCATCTCCTACTCAGTTTCCAGGTGCTGTAGTCACTCCAAACTCTGGTTATTCAAGACTGTAAAACTGAGTTTTCACTGAGGCCACTTGTCTAATGCCAACTGGGATCTGCCCAAGGTGAATAAGCATTAAAACCTGTAGATCCACCCAGTGCCTTTACTGTTATCCAAGCAACCCCTTCTTCCAAGGTTACTTCTGCTTGCTGTTGCCTCCTCGCTGGTGTCTTCATACAGTATTTTTTCACATTTTTTTCCAGTGTTTATAGTTTTCTGTGGGAGGGCTGGCCTCATAAGTACAAGCCTGAAATTACCATAAGGAGAACCAGGCAATGGAGTGCTAACATTAAAATATAGTTTCAGATGTTATCCTGAAATACTGACTTAGCAATCTCAAATTGCTGAGGCCCAAGAACTACATTTTAATTTTACTTTTTTATTGCTTTGAGATGGAATTTAGCTATGGTACCCAGACTGGCCCCAAATTCCTGGGCTCCAATGATCCTCCTGTTTTAGCCTCCCAAGTAGCTGGAACTACAGGCATGCATCATCACACCCAGCAGCTAAGAACCTTCATCTTTAGGTTTTCATTTGTTTTTGTGGTACTGGGATGGAACCCAGGGCCTTTCACATGTTAGGCAAATGCTCTACCACTGACCAGTTACTCCTCCAGCCAAGAACCTACACTTTTAGGAAAGGAATAAAGTGTTTTTTCTTTTTTGTGCAGTCCTGGGGTTTGAATCAGGAACCTTATGCTCGCTAGGCAAGCACTCTACCATTTGAGTCACTCCACCAGCCATAGAACCTCCATTTTTAGAAGTGCTGCAGTTAATTCCATGTATCATACTTTATGAAACACTCTTTGAAAATGCTCATAAATCATACAGTCTTTGATCAAATACTTTCATTACATCGATTCATTATGTGTATAGTGACAGCAAAATCTAGCCTAAGCTAAATTTATCAACCAGGAAAAACCAAACCCAAAATTAGTGTTGGTAACAAAGGAAAACACTCAGATTCTATGAAAGAAGCTTGCCTAAGCAAGTGATCTGTACGCACCGTCAAGAAGTCATGGGAATGGCAAGAAAAGTTCCTACCAGTATGAATCAAAGTAATCAGATCAAGACAGAATGAGTCTGTCCTGTAGCAGAGGGCTGTATACGAGGTTCCTTTCAAAAACCCAGTAAGGTAAATTTAAAGGAGGAAAAAGCCTAAGCCAGGTCAGAAAGGCAGGGCTTGAGAAAGTCCAGAACTGAAATTCTGGCTACATCTTAGTGCCACACTTGAAGCTCTTTGAGGACAAACCATCCTGTCTGTTATTACTGTCAGCTCAGCACAGTCAAGATGCTGGTGAAGCAGTAGTCTATAAAATTTGCTAAGTGAGTAAAGAAGGAAATTCTGGGGACCAGGAGGCTACAGAGTGATTGATTTGGGCCAAAAAGCATTAGGCAACAAAGAGAATAACTTCTCCTAAAAGAACTCTTATCGGGAAGGGGAAGAATGTCCTAAATGGTCAGTGACTGAACACAGTGAAATCTAGGAGTCTTCAGGCTGGCCTTCCTCATTTTCCTGTCAAAGGAAAATATGCTGAATCTTGCATCTACTTTTCTAGCACCCATACTTCAGGTCCACTTACCGTATTGGAATTTTCCTGCAATTCAGGATCTGTGGACAGAAGGCCCAAGTCACTCAGATAAAGTGAGTGATCTGTATCCTGTGAAAGAAAAAAAATCCAATGAGTAACAAAAATCAGAATTTACAGGAGAGCATGTTACATAATAAAATACTTGGTTATAATGTCCTTAAGATTCCAAATGTCCATATGCATGACATAAAGGAGATGTGAACCATCTAAAGCAAGGGCTAAGTAGACTATTTCATTAAAAAAATTTTCTATATTCTTAGAAGATCTCTTAAATTTTCCTTATTTTTTGCAATGCTGGGATGGAACCCAGGCCTTGTGCACGCAACAAAAAACTCTCTACCACTTGAGCTATGCCCTCAGGACCCCTTTTTGTTTTTGAGAAAACTATCTCACTCCTACCTTTGCCCAGGATAGCCTCAAACTCTAAAGCCTCCTGCCTCAGTCTCCTAAGTAGCTGGGATTACAGATGTCACCCACTGCACCTGGCCTGCCTTTACATTCTTAAAGGTGGTTAATAGTTTAAAAATTATCTCATGATTCAGGTTCAGGTTCATTTTCACTTTTTTTTTTTTTTTTTCCGGCAGCGCTGGTTTTGACCTCAGAGCCTCAACACTTGCTAGGCAGCGCTCTTACTGCTTGAGCCATTCCACCAGCACTATGGCTCAGGTTCCAGAATAATTAAAAACTAGAGTAATTTACATTTACATTCTTTACATTTCTTTCTTTTTCTGGGGGAAGGGCAGTACTACAATTTGAACTCTGCTTAGCAGATGCTCTACCACTTGAGCGATGCCCCAGTCTTTTCTGCTTTGGTATTTTTTCTAGTAAGAGTCTTGCATTAAAAGACAGGCTGGTTTGAACCGTGATCCTCCTATTTGTGCTTCCCTTGTAGCTGGAATAACAGGCCCAACTTTTTTATTGGGTTGGGTGGGTCTCCCAAACTTTCTGCCTATACTGGCCTCAAACTGTGATCTCCTGACCTCAGCCTCCCAAGTAGCTAGGATTACAGGCTTGAGCCACTATGTCCAGCTAGGCTTTACATTCTTAAAGACGGTTAATAGTTTTAAAATTATCTCATGACTCGGGTTCCAGAGTACAAAAGCTAGAATAACAGGAAATCAGTAATGTTTGTAGGATTGTTTTCATCATCTATAAAGTAATTTCACATGCTCGTTGCTGTTCTATAGACCTTGGAAGTAATATCCTATATCCCACATGAAATAGAAAAATGATGCTCTGATAGTGGCAGTGATATGCCCCAAACACAAACAGATCCAGTGTTTCTCAGTGAAAAGTCAATGCTCCTTCCAGTACCCTGTCACCAATGTGGGCACTTCAGAGTGGTCCTGAAGATTAACTATTAAATTCTGTTCCCAGGCTAACTCTGAATTCTGGATTCTTAGAATGTTGGCCACAATTCATACACTTGAAATAGTGACTCTGTTTAACTCAAGTGGATCAAACACTCCTACCTGTGCATGCATCAACAAATACAGTGGTCCTCCCATCCACCATTCTGCTTTCCAGTTTCAGTTACCCAGGTTCAACCATGGTCCAAAAATATTAAATACAGAATAAACAACTCATAAATTTTAAGTTGCAGATCATTCTGAGTAATGTGATGAAATCTTGCCCCATTCCATTCCATCCCCCTTTTTCCAGACTATATACCCTACCTGCCCATTGCTCAGTAGCCACTTATGTAATTAGATCAGCTGTCATGGTGTTGCAGGGCTCCTGTTCAAGTAGCTCTTGTTTTCCTTAATAAGGGCCCCAAAGCACAAGAGTAGTGATGTTCCACAATTTTACTATAGCAATTGTCATATTTTATATTTATTTTTCTATTTACTTACTTACTTACTTTTCAGTATAGGGGTTTGCAGTCAGGGCCTACACTGTTAGCCACTCCACCAGCCCTTATTTGTGATGGGTTTTTTCGAGATAGGGTCTCACAAGCTATTTGCCCAGGCTGGCTTCGAACCATGATCCTCCTGATCTCTGCCTCCTGAGTAGCTAGGATTACAGGTGTGAGCCACCAGCACCTGGCTGTTCTATTTTATTATCAGTTACTGTCAATCTCTTACTATGTCTAATTTATAAATTAAAGTTTATCATAGGTATGTAAATATAGGAAAAAACATAGTATGTATGTTCACTACTATCCACAGCTTTAGGCATCCACTGAGGAGCCTGGAACAGATCCCAGATAAGGGGAATGCAGATAAGGGGAGTGCGGGGGACCTAAGGTATTCACTGAATATCTACTATGTATAAGTACTATTCTAGTACGTTCTAGAGACATAATAATAAACAAAAGAGTCTCTGTGTCTACAGAGCTTACATTCTAATGAAGACCAAAAAAAGTATGCAAGATGATGATAAGTACTATGGAGAACAAAAGGAATAGGAGTTCTTTCATTAGATGGCTAGGGAAAGACTCTCAGATAAGAGGTATCTAAGCAGAGGCTGAAGACAAGAGGACTAGGCCATGTATGCATCTGGAGCAGGTGCTCCAAGCAGAAGGTAGAAAAATACTAAGGCCTGGAGGTGCAAGTGGGTGTTCCTAGTTCAAAGAACCCCAAGAGAGGACAATAATGCCTGAAGTAAGAAGAAAAGAATAGATGGGGTCAGGTAAGTGACCAGGGTCAGTTAAGTGACCAAGCCAGAGAGTACAGTGCCTTAATCACTACTAAGAGATTGTGACTTTACTATAAATGACCAAGAAGTCCTGAGGGGTTATGCACAGAGGACAGACATGATCTGCATCATGGCTTAGAAAGATCTCTCTGACTGATTGATATGTAGAAACAGTCTGGGAATGGGGAGGTGCTAAGTGCAAAGGTGCTAAAAAAGCCACTTAGCAGGTTATTCCATTAACCCAGTCAAGCAGGTGATAAGCAGACTGACTGAAGATAATTGGAAAATTGATCAGATTCTAGATATATTCTGAAAGTAGAACTGATAGACTTTGCTGGTACATGTGGGGTGTGAAGGGAAAAGGGAGTCAGGAACAATATGAGAGTTTGGCCTCTGACACTAGAAAAAATACAGTTACCATTTACTAAGATGCAAAGACTACAGGAGAAACAGGTTTGGAAATGTTGGGTTTTGGAAGAGTAGATATTATGTGGATAGAGATGGGGAGCAGGTGTTTGAAAATCCATGTCTGGAGTTCAGGAGTGAACCAGACTAGATCAATGTAGGACCCAGAGGCACGCGGATGCTGTGAAGCCTGAGACTAGGAGGCATCTCTCTAATGGAGATGTCCAGCTGTCCAGAAGAGGAAGGCTAAGGACTAGGCACTGGTGTGCTTCAAGGGTCAGAGATGTTGGCAGTTAGACTCTCCATGCATTGTTATAAAAATGAGAAATTTGATTGACTTAAAAGTACAGTTTAGCAGAAAAGATTAATGATTTAACATTTGTATCTGTTGTCTCCTCCCTCCAAACCCCCAGCAAGAGGCACTAAGAAGTCATTTGCCTAAGGTCATGTGACTAGTGACAGAAACTGTATTTGAATTAAGTCAGCTGAGCTCCAGGGGGCTGTCCTCTTTTACAACTAATGGTATTTTGTCTCTTACAACACAGGGCTTAAGAATTGGTTCTGAGTTGGGCGTTTATGTCTCATGCTGTAATGCTAGCTACTTGGGAGGCTGAGATCAGAAGGATCACAGTTTGAGGTTAGCCTAGGCTGTAAGTTTGCAAGGCCCCATCTCAATGGAAAAAAATCTGGGCATGGGGGGGCCACCTGTCAACCCAGCTATGGCAGGAAGCTTAATATAGGAGGATCAAGACTGAAGCCAACTTGGGCAAAAAGACCCTATCTCTAAAACAACCAGGGAAAAATGGGCTGGCAGCTTTGCTCTTGTGCAAGCATGAAGTTCTGAGTTCAAATCCCAGCACTACAAAAACAAAACAACAAAAAACTGACTCTGGAAACATAGACTAAATTAAGACTAATTACAAGTTCTGGTTACTTAGGCAAGTTATTTTATTTCTCCTTGCTTCAAGTTTCTTATTCAGTAATATGGGGATAATAACAGTACTTATCTCACAGAGTTCTTATGAAAGTATTTAGCACAGTACCTGGCACATATTTACCATTAAATAAACATTAGTCATTACTAAAACTCAAGGATAGGGGGAAAGTGCTTGTAAAGGGATTTTTTGTTGTTTAAAAATTGGAAACTGTAGATTAAGAGTATGCTCTCCCTACCTAATCAAAACCATACTACATATTTTCAGAATGTCACTATCCTGGAAGGGGTCAGTGAATAGGCAAGACTGGAGTTCAGGGAGAGACCCAGGTTGAAAATAGTAACACAGGACTCAAAGGCAATGAGGATCCTATGAAGCCTGAGACTAGAGGAGATTCTCTGTATTAGAGGGTGAACAGGAGTCTAGAGAAGAGATAAGGTGGCAGACTGGAGGTCGGGGGAAGGAGGGTAGCTATTACAATAATGCAGGCAAAAAGATGATAGTGGATTGAACACAGCAGTCAGAAGTCATCAGATTCCACATATATTCTACAGATATTCTCAAGATAGAGCTGACAGGCTTAGCTCTACGTAGCTTCAGTTTCTTTTCTTTCTTTCATTCTTTTTTTTTTTTTCTTTTTTCTTTTTTCAGTACTGGGGATTGAAGACATAAGCATGAAAGATGAGGACTCTACTGCTTGAGCCAAGCCCCCTGCCCTTTTGTTTATATTGTTTTTGAGATGAGGTCTCAGTAACTATGCCTGGCCTGGCCTGGGACTTGCAATCCTCCTGCCTCTACTTCCTGAGTGGCTGGGATTATAGGAATGCCCCACCATGCCCAGCTCAGAGTCAGATAATAAAAGTACTTGGAAGGGGGCATGACTTCCAAGGCCCTGAGTTCAAACCTCAGTACCACCACTAAAAAAAAAAAAAAGTTAAGTACTTACTTTTCAGGCTTAAAAGACATAACAGTGCTCAGTACCATATTAGAAGTAACAATAGAAATTTACCCCAAGTTCCCTTAGGAATGGAGATCAGGGGAGCAGGAAGTATGGCAGGACTTGGTAAAGAACAACAACAAAATAAAAAACTGCCTAAAAGTCCAGGGACTTGTTCTGTGGCTTAATGTCATTTTATGGGCAAGAGAAAATGGCACTCTCTTAGAGTATCTGGTTGACCTTTGAAAGTCATTCCGAGGCCTCTGGGTTCAAAAGCACCTTCTTCCACCATATAAAGCAAAGCTAAGGCAGAATCTGGTGAAATTTCTGGCTCCCATAACCCACTGCAAAGACACACATCTTGACCCTGATTTCTGCTCTCCATCTATCAGACAGATAAGACGTTTTAACCTTTTTTGTGACACACAAACAATTGCTGTTCTGTGGTGCCCAGACAAAAACAAGAGACAAGAACATTGCATACAACTTATGGAAACAGCCAAGATGCCCCACCACTGACGAATGGATTAAGAAAATGTGGTATCTATACACAATGGAATTCTATGCAGCCATGAAGAAGAACGAAATGTTATCATTCGCTGGTAAATGGATGGAACTGGAGAACATCATTCTGAGTGAGGTTAGCCTGGCCCAAAAGACCAAAAATCGTATGTTCTCCCTCATATGTGGACATTAGATCAAGGGTAAACACAACAAGGGGATTGGACTATAAGCACATGATAAAAGCGAGAGCACACAAGGGAGGGGTGAGGATAGGTAAGACACCTAAAAAATTAGCTAGCATTTGTTGCCCTCAACGCAGAGAAACTAAAGCAGATACCTTAAAAGCAACTGAGGCCAATAGGAAAAGGGGAACAGGTACTAGAGAAAAGGTTAGTTCAAGAAGAATTAACCTAGAAGGTAACACCCACGCACAGGAAATCAATGTGAGTCAATGCCCTGTATAGCTATCCTTATCTCAACCAGCAAAAACCCTTGTTCCTTCCTATTATTGCTTATACTCTCTCTACAACAAAATTAGAAATAAAGGCAAAATAGTTTCTGCTGGGTATTGGGGCGGGGAGAGGAAGGGGGTGGACTGGGTGGTAAGGGAGGGGGTGGGGGCAGGGGGAGAAATGACCCAAGCCTTGTATGCACATATGAATAATAAAAGAAAAAGGAAAAAAAAAAAAAAAAGAACATTGCATACCTCTGATCCATTGTGTTGTGGAAGTACACTGTATGAGTGTCCTTTGTTATCGTGCCCTTTCATGTGACTTTTGAGACTATACTGAGTGCTGAATGTTTTCTCACAACCATTACTGGGACAGAAGAAGGGTCTTTCACCTGCAAGAATGACAAAGCACAGTAAATTTCACTTTCAGTAAAGTAATTTTATTGGATTGAGAAATCTACCTTTCCCCAATAGAGGGAAGTAAATATTTTTATGAGGGTTAGAGTAACAGTTGTTAAAAGTTGAAAAAACTACATGTTAATTATCTTAGTCCTAAAACTTAATGAAAAGCATTGGGAATGGCCAGGTCCCATAAAGTTTAAAGGGAAGATTTGCTATGTCACAATTTTTTTAGAATGTCTCTATACTGGTTTACTTTCTTAAGGCTGGATTCCTAAGTCTAATCTTTAAATCCTTTCACTTCTGAAGGAAACTCAAACAACGAAGGTGAAGGCCAAGCTGATTAGCCTCTCTCTCTCCACATAGTTTTACAGGTCTCAAGGAAAACAGATAGTCACAGGCTAGATGCAGGCTAAAATGAAAAACAGAAATCAGGCCTATACTCACCAGTATGCGTACGGACATGAGTTTTCAGGTGGTGGCTTGCTGCAAATGCTTTTCCACAGCCATCATGATCACATCTAAATAAGTTGTTTAAGAAAAACAGGAGTCATTAGCCAAGAGATCTTCAACCTTAACAACACTTTCAAATGCAAACGAAAACAAATGTTCAGAACATTAAGATCAGAACGACAGCACTGTTTTAGAGACGGGATAATGAGAGATCCTTAAAAATAGAAGGTGGCACTTCTGGAATCAGATGGAGCTAAGAGACCAGGATGAATATTTCTTGTCCAACATGGAAGACACACTGAAAACCCTGACAATAAAAATCTTTTGACTAATTATTTAATAGAACTCTATTTAGACAGTGAGAGTCCATATAGAAAAATCTACATCCAGTGAAATATTGCAAATATCAAGAGTGGGTAAAGAGGGGCTTAAAGAGTGGTCCAATTGGAATAGCATCTGCCCAGCAAATGTGAGGCCCTGAGTTCAAATTCCTGTACTGGGGGGAGGGGGAAAGAGCCAGGCATGATGACACACAACTGTCTGTAATCTAAGCACTTGGGAGGCTGAGGCAGGTGAATTACAAGTTTGAGGCTAGCCTAGGCTAAATAGCAAGACCCTGTCTTAAAAAATAAAACCCAAAGCAACAAAACAAAACAAAGAGTGGGTAATAAAGAGTCTCACAGGTATACTTGAAATATGAGAACATAAGTCATCAGAACAGATCAGCTGTAATAACTATAATTTCAATGTTGAGATCTTTCTCTCTCTCTCTCTTTTGGTGTAGTGGTGGGGTTTGAACTCAGGCCTATGCAAGTAGCCTATCACTTCAGCCAAAATACCAGTCCTTTTTGCTTTTTTAATTATTTTTTATTTTTTTTATGGATGCTAGTGTACTGTATTTTTTTTTATTCATATGTGCATACAATGTTTGGATCATTTATCCCCCCTCCCCCACCCCTTCCCTCCCTCCTTAACCGCCCCCCCTCCCCGCCCCCTCTCTCTCCCCCCGACCCCCTCAATACCCGGCAGAAACTATTTTGCCCTTATCACTAATTTTGTTGAAGAGAGAGTATATTTCATTATTTTTTAGATGGGGTCTCATGTTTTTTGCCTGGCCAGCCTTGGACTACTATCCTACTACCTACGCCTCCCAAGTAGACAGGATTACAGGCATGTGCACCACCATGCATGGCTTGTTTGTTCATATGGGGTCTCACTACTGTTTTGCCAAGACTGGCCTTGAAATGTGATCCTCCTGATCTTTGCCTCCTGAATAGCTGAAATTATAGGCATGTACCACCATACCCAGCTCTCTCTGTTACCTTTTTGATAACCAAAGTTAGAAAGTTAATCTTTTCTTTCTCAGAACTACTAGGGCATGATCTACGTACTTCTTTTAGGGCATCTCTCAGTTCCAATTGCATTTAATCCCCCTGTATATACTCTTATTATCTGTTATCCTAAAATAAATTCTTTGAGGGCAGGGTCCATGTAGCTCTTCACATTTGCTCTATTTCTTTTATGTAGCAGGCATTCAATAATTATTTATATGAACAAATGCATCTTTCCCCCAGATGAGATATAAAAATTTAATTTCTCCTCTCTCCATTTCTTTCTTTCTTTTAAAATCATTTTTACATTTACTCACATGTGTATACATTGTTTGGGCCACCTCCCAACCCTGCATTTTCTTATAAGTCAAAATATGTTCTTTCTCTCACTCTCTCTCTCTTTTTTTTTTTTGGCATTACTGGGGTTTGAACTCCAGCCTTCACACTTTTGAGGCAGGTGCTCTACCACTTGTGTCTCCAGCTCAAAATATCTTATTTCTTTAAATGCTTCTCTAAAGCATTTTCATTTTTAATTATATCTAAGCATCACTGCATCTAAAGTGCCATTTAATATTCAAGAAAAAATAAGCAGTTTTAATCATCACAAAAATAAATACATGTCCTAAACAGAAGTCAAGAGTCCCCTCAGAAGCCTATAGGTAGAAAAGTAACCTAGGCTTCACAGCATGTGCAGAATAACCAGTCAGAATCTAACAACTCTTACCCTCAAAGGGGACATGACTCAGGAATGCACCTGTAATTTAAAAATCTAATTTTGCTTAATTGGTGTCTAAAAGCTACCTGTCCCTGAAGACTTTTAAACTGCTTTTAAATAACCTAATGAGATGAGTGATTTGAGAATGGACATTGTTTATGTAGCAATACATTTAAATTACATTTAGGGGATCCTTATAAACTGAGTATCTCATAAAAATGTCATTTAATCATCCCAAAGCTGTTTCTCAGCACCTACTGAGTGCCTGAACCATGCTACATGCTGTGAGCACAGAAGAAAGCAGATGATAGGAGTCTCTCCTTTAAGCTTATACTTTTCTTTCTTTTCTCTTCTTTTTTTCTTTTTTCTTTTTTTTTTTTTGAGACATGGTCCTGCTATGTATCCAAGGCTGGCCTCAAGAACTTGCCATCTTCCTGCTTCAGCCACAAGTGCTGAGATTATCGGCATGCACAACCACACCTGGCTCAAGCTTATACATTTATCGATTAAATATATTTTAGTTATGCATGTATGTTGACATATATAATAAAAAAGTGGATAGTTCTGGATGGGCCTGTTGGCTCAGCTGTAATCTCAGCTACTCAGGAGGTAGAGACTGGGAGGATCTCGGTTCAAGGCTAGACTGAACAAAAAGCTATCAAGATTCCCACTCTTAACCAATAGCTGGGTATGGTGGCATGCACCTGTCATCTCAGCTACACAAGAAGTATAACTAGGAAGAGCATAGTCCAGGCTGGCCTGGGCAAAAACATGACACTCTATTCAAAAAATAACTAAAGCAAAAAAAAAGACTAGGGGCTTGGCTCAAATGGTAAGGTGCCTGCCTAGCAAGTATGATGCCCTGAGTTCAAAACCCAGTGCCACCAAAAAAAAGTAGAAGAGTCTGTGTTTGTGTATGCACATGTGAAATATTATAAAGCAACAGCTTGCACAAGTAACAAGCACCCCTCTTCTCCCCTTCAAATATTAGGTAGGAATCACTCCTTGGTGCAAAAGGCACTTAGGACATCTTACAGCCTCAGATACTAATTAAGGCTTTAAAGGACAGCCTGTTTCTTTGTATTCTCCTGGCACCAATAAAAGTATCTACCACAAAAGAGAATTTTAACAAATAATGTTTGAAAATACAGGGAAAAAATGAGGCAGAAATGCCACCATGCATAAAGTAAGATGTTCTTGGAACCTATTCACGGTCCTCTATCACCTGTAGCAGTTGACTACTGCTATCTTGGGGTGAGTTAACACTGCCAGAGAAAGAACTAAGGAAAGGAGTTTTCTTTCTACTTAGAAAAATTCCTAGAGTTTATGAAGATATCAGCTGAAACCTGGTCAATGACAAAAAGAAAGCAGTGAGACCTACCGAAATGGCTTTTCTCCTGTGTGGGTTCGAATGTGCTTCCTCAAATCACTGAGTGTGGTGAAGTATTTGCTGCAGCCTTGAGATTCACAGTTAAATGTTTTCCCTGTGTGAAGCCTTTGATGTGCTTTCAACCTGCAAAACATCCCAGAAAAATGCCCTATGGCATAATGTACTACAGAGCCTCCCCATGATAGCTTAATGTGCTGCAGAATCAGATGCAGAAGCATTCTATACCCAGTTTATTAGTATCCATACAGTTTCATCCAAACAGAAATTCAAAAAAGTAAATAGCATGGTGGTATGAACATGAGAGACATGCTGCCTGGGCTTCAACTCCTGGCTCAACTGGGGACCCTAAGCCAGTAACAGAACCTTTCTGTGTTTCCACTTACTCAGCAGCTGTTCTGAGGGCCAGCACTTAGAACTGTGCCTTGCACATAGTATGTGCTTTTTAAGTGTTAGCAACTGTTATTTCTGTATCTCCTTATACAAACATGGAAAGAGAAATAGCCATCAAATTGGCAACTCCGTGTTTCTCAGGATAGAAGAAATTATCTTCAAGGTAAGGTGAGAAAAAAAAAAAAATACAGAAGCCTTAGTAAAGATCCTGCACCAAGGGAACAGATTACACTATGCCAGCTACTGAAATCCTGAGGCAAGAATGTCACACCATGAGATGCAAATCTAAACACTATTATTTCTACAACACAAGACATATACAGCTAATGAATGCACAGCTGTGCTTTTTGAAACCCTAAAATCAAACATCTCTCCTGTGGAAAAAAGTGCTCTTCTGTCAGGTCAGAGTCAGAGGCTGGTGAAGCAGTGAAGCAGCCTACCTGTACAGTGTGTTGAACGCCTTCTCACAGCCTTGCACATCACACTCAAATGGCTTCTCCTTCGTGTGCACTCGCACATGGATCCTGAGGCTGTAGGAGGTGAGGAAGGCCTTGCCACAGCCCTCCTGATTGCAGACAAAGGTGTACTCCCCTCGGTGAGTTTTCTGGTGGGTACGTAGGTTACCTGCTGTGCTGTAGGTGCGGGGGCAACCCTCGAAGGTGCACTGGTACCGCTTTACCTGGCAGACAGAGGATATCTCATCAATAAGGCAAAAGAGCTGGGCCAGGGCTTAACTACCCCTGAGCTCAGCTTCAGGAGATGTGGAAAATACAAGTGAGTTTTCATCATAAACACAGATGATGTGTTAACAACTTCTAAGAGCAAAGTAGGAAGGCCTTATTGTTGTTCAAATAACTCATGAACAGTGCATAGGGAATATTCTAAGTGAATGTACCAATAATTTTAGACTCTGGTCTAAAATCTATCCTTTAAAGATGAACATATACTATTCATATGCTGAATAAAGATAATTAATTGCATTCAAATAAAATCTTAATTTTGTTTTAAGGCTTGATTAAACAATGCCCTCTGGCACTCTATCTTGATTAAAACTGGCCAATGCTAAATTAAGTCTAAAGCATCATGAAATTGATATAATTAATTATCAAACTATTTCCCTAGATAGTTTCCATTGTATACTTTCAAGTCTATAAAATTTTTAAAAAAGTATCATGAATTTCTTGGAGTATTTGGAGGTGTGACATTTCTCAACCATCAGCCTCTTTGTTTTCTTCACCACCAAACTTTTTGAAATGATGCTTCCATTACCCTCAATGCCCACGTATTCCTTCAATACTTGGCAAGCTGGCTTACTCACTGTACAAAATTATTCTTTTAAACTACCTTTCATTCTTCCCTATTTTCCTTGACTATGAACATATCCCACTCATGTACCTCCTCCTTCTGAAAATTTGTCCTTCACAACACTAGTTAGTATTCATAAGTCTTTAATCCTAACTTTTCTTCAAAGCCTCAGTCCATATCTCTAACTATAGTACACTGCTATTCATTCAACAGCTACTGAACTATTTTGTCCCAGGCAACACACTCAACACCATAGTTAAAAAAGTAAGACATGCTGGGCGACAGTGGCTCATCCCCATAGCTACTTGGGAGGCTGAGATTGGGAAGATCAAGGTTTGAGGCCAGGCCAGACAAATAGTTTGTGAGACCCCATTTCAAAATAGCAGAGCAAAATGGACTGGAGGTGTCGCTCAAGTAGTAGAGCACCTGCTTTGCAAGCATGAAGACCTAAGTTGAAACCTCAGTCCCACTAAAAAAATAAGTAAGACAAAAATCTCTACCTTTGCCAGGCACCAGTGGCTGATGCCTGTAATCTTAGCTACTCAGGAAGCAGAGATCAGAAAGATCGCAGTTCGAAGCCAGCCCAGGCAAATAATTCGTGAGACCCTATCTCGAAAAACCCTTCACAAAAGTAGGACTGGTGGAGTGGCTCAAGGTGAAGGCCTAGAGTTCAAGCCCCAGTATCGCAAAAAACAAACAAAAAATCTACCTTTAAGCAATGCCAGTTGCAAAGATACAGACATGTGTAAAAACTACTACACTGTGCTTAGCATTCATATACATACATACACAAGGTGCTTTGGAAACATAAAAAAAGGAAGTTTTTTTTTTTTTTTGCAGTACTAGGGTTGGAACTCAGGGCCTACACCTTGAGCCATTCCACCAATCCAGTCCTTTTTTGTGATACGTTTTTTCAAGAGACGGTCTTGGGAACTATTTGCCCAGGCTGGATTAAAACCACAATCCTCCTGATCTCTTGCCTCCTGAGTAGCTAGGATTATAGATGTGAGCCACAATACCCAGTGTGAAAAAGGGAACTTCTAATCCCTCTTAAGAAAGAATGAAAATCAGTGAGGACTCAGAAACAAGGTATGGCTCTGAACTGAGAATATTTTTCACTTGTCCATTGTTTTTGTTTGCTTGATTGTCTTCAATGAGCTGAAAAGGTATTCCTCAGACAAGTCAGGAAGTAAAAGGCATTCCAAAAAGGGAACAGTATGGGAATTGCAGTACAGTAAGTCTCAAACACTTGAAGTATATGAGAGATAGTAAGGAAAACAAGGAGAAACCATCATTGGATGGCCCATGGCACACACTACCCAGTATTCAGGAAGCTGAGGCAGAAAGATATTTCAAAATAAAGAGAAGTCTCTGTAGTTAAACTATTAAGATATACAAGAATATGATGATGGGAGCCACTGACAGGTTAACCAAGACAGCGACACAATCAGAAGTGGGAGTTTAGGCAACAAATCATTCTGGTAGCATTGTGGAGGATGGACTGGGAGAGTAAGAGAGCAGGAGAGAGAAATTAAGAGAAAAGAAGCAACAGTTCAGGAGAAAGATGAGGAAAGTCTGAAAAAGGGAAGTAAAAGTGGACATCATAAAATGACCTCCATAGAAATTAAAAGGGGTGAAACAACTTGCTATAGAACTGGGTACTGAGGAATGGGAGGGTAGAGAGGCAAAGCTAAGATCAACCCCAAGATTATGGCCCAAACAATTAGATAGATGGTGAGGCTGTTAATATGAATGGGGCTGGATGGGCCCAGGTGGAAATGTCTACCATACAGTTGAAGCTAAAAAGAAAGACTATGGCGGGAGAACTTTGGTTCACAGGTAACAACTGACTTTACCTGCAACAGGTTCAAGCAGGCTCAAGTTCAAGCCCTAGCTCTGCTACTTACTGTGCAACCTCAGGAAAATTAAACTCTCTAAGTCTCAATTTCCTTATTTATAGCACGGAGGAAACAAAAATCTCTTTAAAGTTGTTGCAAGAATTAGAGACAATTTGTGTAAAGCATTTTAATACAGCAATTGGCACTTAATACTCAACTAAAATAATAGCTTTTATAAGAGGACAAAAGATAGACCTCGAAAAGTCACCAACATTCAACGTACTGGTGGAAGAAAAGAAGCCTTTGACAAGGGAGTAGGAGAAAGGGTTGAGGAAGCAGGCAGAGAAGAAAGAATGTCACAGACACCAAAAGAAAAAGGGTCTCAAGGAAATGGAAATGACCAAAATGTCATAAATGAAAGGGGAAGTGGAGGGAGAAACTAAAGATGGTGAGCACAGGGTACTTCTGAGTTGGTTGGTTTTCTTTTTAAGTAAGATAATTTTTTGTTAGTATTGGGGTATAAACTCAGGGACTTGAACTTGTTAGGCAGGTGCTATACCCCTTTTTACTTTAATTTTTTCAGATGGGGATCTCATGGTTTTTGCCCAGGGCCAGCCTAAAACGGCAATTCTACCTCCATCTTCTGCCTAGCTGGGATTACAGGGATGCTCCATCAAGTTAGAAGTCTAGTTCTTGAGCAGACTGAAGTTGAGAATTTAGGGAGGAAAAAAAAGAAAAGAAAGACAATATTTAAAGCCTGGGTGGGCCTAGGGATGGGGCTCAGCAATAGTTTCATGTCATAATGCCTAGTTTTGAAGTCCTGGTCAGAATAATTCTGTAACAGTGCTCCTGCTCCAAACATACCATCTCTGCTCAAATGATAAAGTCCAATTCCGTAGCCTGACATTCAAGGATAGTCCCAGGTTTTGTCACATTACTCAGTAACCAGCCAGCAGAAGGCTCTGTCTAGGACTATCAGTCATAGCACACTCAATCCCAGTTGTAACTCTGAATTCTCACTTCCTGGCCTTTACTCTCTCCTCTCCCTTTACTGGAAATGCCCAGTTCCTTCTTTGCTTTTCTGAGTCTCTCTTTTCCTTTAATGCAAGCCTCACTACCTCCAAGATCCTCTATAATGACTCTCCATGTCGACAGGACAATGCCCTCTCTAAATGCCAACAATATTGAACTATATCACTCATTTAACACTTAACTTACATTGGCAACTATCTTCTCTGCATACATTCTCACTTCCCATCAAGATTAAGATTATCTTCTGTACTGTGAGAGAGGGATTTCAAAATAACTACTGACCAGTAAGAACTGGGACTGTCAATGCTGCAATAAAGGAGTCCACATGTCTCAATTATAAAGCTTATGACTGCGTGAGGCCCTGGGTTCGATCCCAGCACCAAAAAAAGAAAAGACAAAAAAAAAAAAAAAAAAGCTTATGACTGATAAAAAAAAAAAAGCTTACGAATGATAAAACAAAAAATCATTCTTTTTTCTGTTTTTGTTTTGGGGACAGGGGCTCACTACTTATCCCAGGCTGGTCTAGAACTTGCTATGTAGCCCAGGCTGGCCTCAAACTTGTGATACTCCTGCCTCAACCTCGGTTTGTGCCCCCACACTTGGCTTATACTTTCATTGTTAAGATGTTACAGCAGTTGGTAACTTCTAAGTAACTGCAATAAATAACTACCCCTCCTATCTTTCTGCCATCTGAGTTTTTGTATTTGGCCAATTCACGCTTCTATAAAATATTTCTTCCTCAAGGGAATTCTTCTTCCTTGATTAGTCCTTACCTATCCCAAACTAGAACAGGCATCCTTATTATAGATTCTCATAGCTTCCTGTACAGTCAGTTCTCTCTGAGGGCTCTGCATCTAGGAATCAGTCAACCATGAATTGAAAAGATTTAGAAAAAAATATGTCTGTACTGAACATGTACAGAAATTTTCCTCATAAATACTCCTTTAACAACACAGTACAACTATTTATATAGTGTTTACACTGTATTAAGTATTATAAGTAATCTAAAGATGATTTAAAGTATATAGGAAATGCACATAGATTACAACCTTTTATATAAGGGACTTGAATATCCATGGTTTTTTATCTATGGGAACTTCTTGAACTAATTCCCAATGGATAATAAGAGATGACAGCCTTTCTTTAAAGTAAAATAAAGCGGTTGGGGATTTAGCTCAGTGGAAGACCGCTTGCCTGGCAAGTACAAGGCCCTGAGTTCGGTCCCCAGCACCGAAAAAAAAAAAAAAGGAAAACAATAAAGTAAAATAAAAATTAAAATGGAAAAATATAGCTAAATTTACATTGTTATCTTTAGTTGCTAGGCACAGCAATATTTGGAAAGCAGCAGGCACTAAATAAATATTTATTGAATGAAATGATTCGACTTAGAGGAATGGCTACTTTTCAGCTGCAATATGAGCTCCACAGAGCAGAGACCACACTCATCTTGTTCACTGGCAACACAACCTCGGAGACTAGCCTTGTGGAGAGTGGTACTCCATTC